AGGTCATACCCTATCTATATATTGTTTTATAAAAAATCTGGTGGCATATAATCTTGTGGTATACAATTTAGTAATATAAAATCTGGTGGCATATAATCTTGTGGTGTAACATTTTGTGGTATAAAATCTGGTGGCATAAAATCTAGTGGTATAGACCAGGGGTCTCCAAACTTTTCAGACCGAGGGCCGCATTAACTATCAAATTTCAGTTCGGGGGCCAGTTTCTTCCAGGCATCTCTTTGATTTTTCTGGGCAAAGTTCCTCAGCCATCACCGACAAACGATTTTTCCTTAGACAAAAAGATCTCCGCGGGCCGGATGAGAGGACTTGGCGGGCCGCATCCGGCCCGCGGGCCGTAGTTTGGAGACTCCTGGTATAGACTATTGATAAAAATATGATGATGTGCGGAAATTTGAAGTATGTTGGTTTACAAAGTATAATAAACATGATCTACGGAGTGTGAGTGTGGTTAGGGTGAGATTGTGGGTGTGGTTAGGTTGAGGATGTTGGTGTGATCAGGGTGAGATTGTGTGTGTGGCTAGTGTGGGATTGTGGGTGCGATGAACGTGAGATTGTGGATGTGGTCAGGGTGAGATTGTGGGTGTGGTTAGGATGAGATTGTGGGTGTGGTTAGGGTGAGATTGTGGGTGTGGTTAGGTTGAGGATGTTGGTGTGATCAGGGTGAGATTGCAAACTCTATATACAAGAATAAATACCGCCAATACCCTAATGATCGGCTGTCAGTAACAAAGCCCACCCATAATTAACCTCATACCTAATTAACTCTCGGTGACTCTCAGTTTACCAGCAACATCCCCAACCCCAGCATAGATCGTACACATCCCGTCAGTCACTTACAACATGGGTTTACATCACCAACCCCACCATAGATCGTACACATCCCGTCAGTCACTTACAACATGGGTTTACATCACCAACCCCACCATAGATCGTACACATCCCGTCAGTCACTAATAACAACATGGGTTTAATCTTTGATGCGATTAACCAAATCCCCTTGTATGGATGAAATCATTGGAAAGTAGTCGGATTTAGGGCAGGGACTGTGTCAAAAGCAACGACTACTTGACCTGCTAAGTTATAAGATAAAATCTGCTGTTGTGTTGATTAGCAATTTGGTTTTATCTCTCAGTCATTTCAGTCATAATATAACTCGTCACCACACCATCCCCTGTGTAAATCATGACTTAAGTCATGTTATGATTTGAAATGCCTACACACAGAACATACACGTTTTACATTCAAGCGGAGTGAATGGTTTGGATAATTTAATCCCCTAATACGTTTTATCGTCATTACTTATGTAAATCGATTTGAAGAAGTTTTCCGCATGAGATTTGATGTAACGACATTTGGTGTGTGTCTTTGGGACATCAAACAAATATAGGGCTGTGTAGGTATAGGAGATGGTGTGTGGGACATCAAACAAATATAGGGCTGTGTAGGTATAGGAGATGGTGTGTGGGACATCAAACAAATATAGGGCTGGGTAGGTATATGGGGATGGTGTGTGGGACATCAAACAAATATAGGGCTGTGTAGGTATAGGAGATGGTGTGTGGGACATCAAACAAATATAGGGCTGTGTAGGTATAGGAGATGGTGTGTGGGACATCAAACAAATATAGGGCTGTGTAGGAATATGGGGATGGTGTGTGGGACATCAAACAAATATAGGGCTATGTAGGTATAGGAGATGGTGTGTGGGACATCAAACAAATATAGGGCTGTGTAGGTATAGGAGATGGTGTGTGGGACATCAAACAAATATAGGGCTGTGTAGGTATAGGAGATGGTGTGTGGGACATCAAACAAATATAGGGCTGTGTAGGTATATGGAGATGGTGTGTGGGACATCAAACAAATATAGGGCTGTGTAGGTATAGGAGATGGTGTGTGGGACATCAAACAAATATAGGGCTGTGTAGGTATAGGAGATGGTGTGTGGGACATCAAACAAATATAGGGCTGTGTAGGTATAGGAGATGGTGTGTGGGACATCAAACAAATATAGGGCTGTGTAGGTATAGGAGATGGTGTGTGGGACATCAAACAAATATAGGGCTGTGTAGGTATATGGAGATGGTGTGTGGGACATCAAACAAATATAGGGCTGTGTAGGTATAGGAGATGGTGTGTGGGACATCAAACAAATATAGGGCTGTGTAGGTATAGGAGATGGTGTGTGGGACATCAAACAAATATAGGGCTGTGTAGGTATAGGAGATGGTGTGTGGGACATCAAACAAATATAGGGCTGTGTAGGTATAGGAGATGGTGTGTGGGACATCAAATAAATATAGGCCTGTGTAGGAATATGGGGATGGTGTGTAGCATGATACTGTTCGTGTCACGCTACTAAACTGTGTAAACAGATGCTTACGTCACTCAACTGTGTAGAAAGATTCTTACGCTACTAAACCATGTATGCAGATTCCTACGCTACTAAACTATTAGACAGATGCATACGCTACTAAACTGTGTAGGTAGATTCCTGCTCCACCCACTGGGTATAAGGTGGTTTGAGAGGATTACACCGCGGGGTGAGAAAAAAAAAATATTTAAAAATCCGATCGAATAGGATGTACGACAGGGGGGTGGGGGTGGATAAACCACGCCCTGCGCTCACGCACTAATGCTAGCAGACATGCACGTGACTTGAGCCGTGGACAGCAAATTTAGGACCCCATGCACTGCCACAAAATATCCAACGGAATAGTGGCTAGCTGACTAGATCACTTGTACCAAATATCAGACAATTTTAGGGTTTTATAGCAGTAGTTTATAGAGTGTTTCTTTCCGATATTTTTCTCGGTGAGTAGGGCTTATGAAACTTCCGAGAACGGGGTGGGGGGGGGGGGGATATTTTAAATCAAACGAAGCTGTTTATTGTTAATAGTTTGAATGAAATGTACAATTTTTTTTCTTAAATCTACTTTAATTGAATAATTAATATCTACTTCGTACGTATATTCCATAAAAGATAAAAAACGCTTCAATTTTTTTAAAGTTAATATTTCAAGGGACACTACTACATTTATAACAATTTCAAGTAAGAGTTTAACAGTGCACTCCCTTGGATTTTTAGTAAGAAATGTAAAAGATAAAATTACATTAAACCTCAAAGTGATTTTCCAAATACAAAAAGACAACAAGTTAATTAAGGCCCAGCTTACCATTAATTGTTTTTCTTTTTCTCCACGTTTGAAATGTCAAAAAAAAAAAAAAAAAAAAAACTTACCACATATTTTTTCTCTTTCTCCATGGTTTGAAATGTCGAGATCGAGGCTTGAGTCCCCGAGGCCTCGGCGACCTCCTCGTCTGTGCTGCTCATGTTTTGCTAGAAGACGAAACCAGAAGGCAAATTTGAAATATCAAAACTGCAATTGTTATCCGATAATAATCTCTGATAATTAATTTTCCAAATCTTGATTTCAAAACATTGACATCTTTTCACATAAATCCAAAAACAAGAATAATATTTAAGAAATCCGAAGTAAACTTCAACAATGAATCAACAACACGATAGACTCGGATAGACATATGACATTTCTCCTGTCCTTAGCAATTTTTATTTCTAAAGTTACTCAGAGAAGCTGTTGGAGTTATCTCCCTTGCCGATCACTTGACTTATCGTTCTTAGATAACGCGAGTTAGGGTGATAGTTTTGTTATCTCTGTTGAGAAGATGTGTTGTTTGACCGTGTTCCCTGCCCTTTGGATGACCACAGATTAAGTTAAGCACTTCCAGTTCTTTCCCCTGTTGGCTATGTGTTTACATCGCGTGGACTAGAACAAGGGAGACTATAAGCCCTCCATAACAACAACATTGAGAGGATTTCATTAGTACAACAAGGTTGTAGGTTTACCCGTACGTTAATTGTTAATTATCAGTCCCGTCCTTCCAACACAATTTCTGCCCTCGACAACCTTAGTATTTCAGAGTACCAAAATCCTGATCACCACAATAGATAAAAACAAACCCACCTGATTACCACCTTCATAGACAAAAAAAAAACCCCTCCTTATCGCCACCTTCATAGACAAACACAAACCCACCTGATTACCACCTCTATAGACCAACACCAATACACCTGATCACCACCTCAATAGACCAACACAAACCCACCTGATTACCACCTCTATAGACCAACACAAACCCACCTGATTACCACCTACATAGACCAACACAAACCCACCTGATTACCACCACTATAGACCAACACAAACCCACCTGATTACCACCACTATAGACCAACACAAACCCACCTGATTACCACCTACATAGACCAACACAAACCCACCTGATTACCACCACTATAGACCAACACAAACCCACCTGATTACCACCACTATAGACCAACACAAACCCACCTGATTACCACCTACATAGACCAACACAAACCCACCTTATCACCACCTTTATAGACCAACACAAACCCACCTGATTACCACCTCTATAGACCAACACACACCCACCTTATCACCACCTTTATAGACCAACACAAACCCACCTGATTACCACCTCTATAGACCGACACAAACCCACCTTATCACCACCTTTACAGACCAACCTTACTTATCATCACCATCTCAGTATAAACAAAGCATATGGCCACTTACTCAGCTAATGATTGGTAAACAACATGGTGGAGAATGTTAATGACAACCACATATAAGTAGGTCTACTTGGGATGAACAACCATTAAAATAACCACACAAAAAAGACAGCATTTATTTCTAACGACCTCATTTAAAGTCTATTAATATTTAACTTTAACATTTCTTTTCGGTAAAATGTTACGAAGTTATGAAATGAAAAAAAAATGCAAATACTATTTTAGAATGACAAAAAAAAAGTAGCGATTCCTACTTTCAGACATTGTGAATAAAATAAATAAGAGCGCTAAAACCGATATGTGAAATATTTGGATTGGTGGTGGGGGGGGGGGGGGTTGAAAAAGAGGTGAAAAGTTTCAGCCAAGTCTGAATATCCGGTCTTTTAATGTTTCAACGTAAACCTGGTTGGGCTGCGGTTGCTATGTTTACGATAAAATGAGCACGAAGGCCGTAAGTTAACCTTTGTATAATCAGTATGATAGTTTGGAAAACTCACAATCTATAAAATCATACAGAATAATACGGACAAACAAATCAACCAACTGTCGAACTGGCGACGGTACTTTACTACTAAATTACTTGCCTTTTTCCCCCTTAAATCACGGAAGTAGGCCTAAATCATTTAACAAACAATTCCTCGTTTTTTTTTTTCTTTTAGGCTATCAGAGGAACTGTTAAATACAAACATTTTTTTTTTAATTTACCTATTGAAGTCGTCTCTCTCAACATACAGGGCTATATAAATCGAAAATGTTTTAGATATCCAACATGAACATAACGGGAAAAACGCCCAAACGTGAGACACGCCTCTTTCTCTATTTGTTTTCAAAACCACTGTGACCTTTGACACAAATCTAAGAGACTAAAATTATTCATCAATGGGATTAATACTAGAGCAGATGATATTTTCTAAAGGTAGAATATGTTTGCATAAAGTTCGTTGTATTATAGGCATAGTATAGCCTATACTGTATAAGACCTAGCCTACATATTTTATTTTCCAACTAATTTCTGTTATATTTTCCAAATCTTTAAACCACCAATGAAACAGGAGCTACATATTTGTCCCGTTACTGTTTTTCCGTCACACATTTTTGTAAATAGTTTCCAACCAAGCTATGATGGCTCCAACAACAGATGTAAGCAGAACTAAATTGTGAATTTGTTAACAATTAGAACTAGATAGATCTTAATGTATTCTTGTTAAAATCGGTTCTTATATGTTAACAATTTCATTAATGTTATTATTTTTACTCTAAATTCTACTCTAGATCTAGATAGATCTAGAAGATAAGAATTAAGAATATCATAATTATCAGAAGAATCAGAACTCCAGTAGCCAGTAGACTTCCAGTTCAGAAGTCAGTTCTAGATTCTAGATCTAGAATCTAGATCTACTTCTCCATATATATATATTTTATTCCCCGCTTCACATTCACCTCCGGTTGAGCGTATTTTATTATAAACACAACCAAAACACACAAAAACATCAGTAAAACATTGGGCTTATTTCTTTATGAATTTTTGTTTTAGTTTTTGATAATTTACTTCTTCTGTCAAAACTTGAGAAAAATCCAATAATTTAGAATATTGAATGTGCTATGTTTGTGTGTCAGTTAGGATTTTCTTGGCAATGGGTGAAGTACATAAACGTAACTCACAATTGCAAGGCGGTTAAGTTTGTATTGTTACAAGTAGTATCTCCCACGCATGATACTATAAATAAACATTTATGAACTCACAATAACCCCAAAACTGAGGCCAACACAATTTCAAACAGCTATTGCCCGAGCTATGACGTATTCTGATAATTAAAGTCCATGTGAACTCACGGTAAACCCGCGACCATGTAAGGATTTTTCTCCCGCTGACGATCACATGATATTTAATTGGAACAGTTCTAAAGCTTTTTTTTTACCTTATCTAATTAAAAAAAAATAAGTAGATCTAGCTCTAATCCTAGTGTTTTCCTAATGTTTTTGTGTGTTTTGGTTGTGTGAAGCGGGGAATAAAATATGCTAAAATGGAGTTTTACCCTACTTCTAGTCTAGTGACCTATTCAAATCTAGTCTAGATCTAAGATCTAAATTAAAAAAAAATGTTAGATCTAGATCTAGTTATAAATCTAGTAGTATCTAGGTTTAGATCTAGCAATAGGACTAATAGATCTAGATTCTAGCACCAGTTACTAGATCTAGTAGAAGTTCTAGACTCTAGACTATTTCAATTTAGGCTAAAAGCCCAGAACTATTAATAGTGTCGCACTAAAATTAAAATATTTCTAAGGGTTGTCCAAGCCCTTACAGTAAGTATACATTTTTTAAAAAGGGTTAGAATGTGTTAGGGTGTAATTTCCAGAAATAAAAGTACTTTCCTAGTAAAAATATCAGACAATTGTAGGCCTACAAAACCTTCTCTGTCATTCTCTAAAAACAAAGTAGCTTTTTAATCTTGTATTTAATATCTTCCCGTTGCTTTACAGTTTACTACTTATCCAAAGACCTTCCAGTATTTAATTAAAACATGAATTTTATGTATAATGCACCATCTTCATTTCTTTTTATATTCTAAACTTTGCTTCTGTACCTGTTTATTTGTCAATCAGTTAGCTGGTAATGTGTGCTACCCCTTCTCATTACCCCCACTATTTATCTGAATGCAATACTAGTTAACTCATTGATATGGTATGTTAAATTTACCAGTTAATGGAGGAAAAAGAATCAAGGAATACAATACTATTCAGCTCAACTAAAAGAGAAATCTACACTCTAAACAATGGGTTGAAGACCATGAGCAGAAAGTTGAAATCATCATGGCGCCTTGTTCCGTAAGTCTGATAGGAATTTTTCATAAAGTAGCAAAGTCACTTGTCCTAAGATTCGATACAGTTTTTTTTATTCTTTCTTATGGTGTTGATTATACTTTTGATATTGTATTTATTTAAATATCTTGTCCTTCTAGTAAATTCTTTAGAATTAGCTACTGAAAAATGTTGAACTAAATAGATCAGGATTTTCTATTAGGCAAAATGCAGCATAGTTGTCTTATTATAATTAGCATTTCTAGTTAGTGTCAACCAAACTTTTTATGAGAAGACATATTTTTACTTTTGTTTAGAAACAAAGATGACATTTCTCCAGACAAATTGAACCAAGCAAGAATTTTTGTAATTCCCGGAGCAAGAGAAAAATTCACGTCTGCTGAGGTATGTTAAAAAAATAATCTTTTAAAGTTTAGTGTGATTATTAATGTTATTTGTAAATTTGTAAACTTAATTTGCTCTGAAATTTTTTTTTTTTTTTCTCCCCGTAGTTTTCTGCTCTGAAGGCATATGTGGAGAGTGGAGGAAGTGTTTTGGTCCTACTGGGTGAAGGTGGAGAAGCAAAATTAGAGACACACATAAACTTTTTTCTTGAAGAGTATGGTATAGCTGTTAACAATGGTAAGATATTTATTTATATATAATCTTTTTAGTGTCGTTTTTCTAAATAGAAATTTCTACACTTGAAAAGTATTAACAAAATTTACTGTTTTACTCCTTCTAACTATGAATAGATGCAGTTGTCAGAACCTCTTACTACAAATATCACCATCCAAAGGAAGCTCTAGTCACAAATGGGGTTTTAAACAGGTGCTTGGAAATATTATTTTATGCCACTTGTATTGTTACATAACATTCAGTAATATTTGTATTTTTAGAATTGTAAAATGATGTATATAAAATGCTCAATAAGTTTTTTATTTCCTTAATTAAACAATTTAATGTTGTTAGTTTTTACTGAGAACACTTGTAGTAATTGAATGTCTCTTGTTGTAACAATTTAATGTAGTTAGTTTTTACTGAGAGCACTTGTAGTAATTGAATGTCTCTTGTTGTAACAATTTAATGTTGTTAGTTTTTACTGCGAGTACTTGTAGTAATTGAATGTCTTTTGTTGTGGTGTAGAGCCATCAGCCAAGCTGCTGGTAAGGTGATGTTTGGGGCCATGGATGAGGACAGCAACAATGCTCAGTAAGATTTTTGTTTTGTTTGTTTTTTTGGTTTGTTTTTTGTATGTGTTTGCTGCAAATATTTTATGTGTGCAAATCAAATTGTAACATCATTTTTAGTTGACCATTTCATACCCCAAACAAAGCAATAGTTTGAGTATCAAATGTACAGAATAAGCTGGTTGTCATGTATTAACTAATCATTCCAGGGCGCTGTCATTCCTTTACCCATATGGGGCCACATTGAATGTTGTCAAACCTGCCTCAGCTGTCTTGTCTACTGGCACTGTCTGTTTTCCTCTCAACAGACCTGTTTGTGGTCTTTATTCCTCCAAGGTTGGACGTCTCTCATACTAATTAAATAACTGGTAGTTCATTTGATTAACTTGTTTGTTTTGTTTCAACCAATTTTGCAACTGTTGATGAAAGTTTGATTAAAATCCCCAGCATCATAAAGGAAAGATTGCTGTCCTAGGATCTGTGCATATGTTTAGTGATCTCTACCTCGACAAGGAGGAAAACAACAAAATATTGGTACTCTTGAATTATCCACAAAATTTAGTCAATTATTCTAAGCCTTTGCCAACATTTTTTTACTAATTTTTAACAATACATTTAATATTCTGTTGAAATAATTTCAACTTTGTTTGACTAAAGAAATCTTATTTCAAAAATTATATCAGCAATTTTTTTAAATGCTCATTCATAAAAACATTTTAAATTCTGTCATTTAAAAAATTATTAGCAGTAAGTATATTAATAGCTATAAATAAAAGTTAAATAATTTCTTGACCCACTCAACAGGATGTATTGATTCAGTACTTGACGACAGATGAAATCAAACTTAACCTGATTGATGCAGAAGATCCAGAGGTGAAGTTTTTGTACTGTCCTAGAAATTGTGTACATTTCTGTTTAAAGTTATTATACTGTCCTAAAATTGTTTATATTACTTATTTGTTTCTCAATTGGAATTAACAGAACGAGATTTCAGTTACCTATTTTCTTTATTATTGATTGAAATTTTTATGTATAAAAAAATGTTTCCTAGATCAGTGACTACAGCCAGTTGCCAGACATTGCTAGACTGTCAGAGCAGCTGAAGACATGTTTACAGGAGAGTGACGACATCCCACGTGACATCACCACATTGTTTGACAGCTCCATGTTCAAGCTAGATACATCTCTCGTCCCTAAAGCCATCAAGTAAGTTGATTACAACATTGTACAAACTAGATACATCATTTCCCTAAAGCCATCAAGTAAGTTGACTACAACATCGTACAAGCTAGGTCCATCATTTCCCTAAAGCCATCAAGTTTACCACATCGTACATAATTATGGTACAGCTGCCTTCTGATGATACAACATTTTGAGTAGTCATTAGAATACTGAGTGTATACTAGCATTCCTTATGACTATACTTTTGTGTGTCCTAGGGCATATGAAGAACTGAAAGTGAAACATGAACCACTGACTTTGATCACACCACAGTTTGAGACACCACTTCCGCCTTTAACTCCGGCTGTAAGTTCCAATGTTTTCTTTTTCTTTGTTCCTGCTGTATGTTCTATTTCTTTTTTTTTTTAAACTTCACAGTTTTTATTACTTGAATTAGTAAACCATTGAGCCTCCTTATTTTCTGTGTTTGTAGGTATTCCCTCCATCGTTCAGAGAGTTACCTGCCCCTTCATTAGAGCTCTTTGATTTAGATGAACAGTTTTCATCGGAGAAAGTTAGAATTGCACAGATTACCAATAAATGTTAGTATCTGACTTATTATTTTCTTTTTTATTTAATGATAACAATTATTTAATTAATTTATAAACAGTATTTAACTTCAATTAATATAAATGAAAAATCTTTTTAAAACAATTTTACTCAATTGTTAGCAAAGTATTTCAAATCTTAACTGGTTATAACCAGACATTTAAGCTGTAATTCTAAAACTTCAATTCTTTCTTTCTCCCCCCCCCCCCCCCCCCCCCCCCCAGGCACTGATGATGATCTGGAGTACTATGTGCGGGAGTGTGGGGAGATTCTGGGGGTGACCCATCATCTGCCTCAGGAGAGCAGGACAGCCAAGCACATTCTGGAGCATGTTTTCACACAAATTGTGGAGTTCAAGAAGTTAAACCAGGTCTGTTGAGGTGTTTTCACATTGTCAGTTGATGTGTTTTCACATTGTCAGTTGATGTGTTTTCACATTGTCAGTTGATGTGTTTTCACATTGTCAGTTGATGTGTTTTCACATTGTCAGTTGATGTGTTTTCACATTGTCAGTTGACCTTTTGTGTTAGTGGCTAGTTTTTTTTATAGTTTCAAGCATTTTCTGGAAAGATCTATGGTGGGGAAACGGTGAATTATTTAGCAATCTTTTTTTTTATAAAACTATTTAAATACATTTGAGGGGTCGGCGTGGTCGAGTCGGTAAAGCTCATGGTTGCTAAACCGAAACGTCTCGAGTTCGAACCCTCGGGCAGATGAGGCTCGTTAGCTGGGGACAGCCACTCTTCTAGGAGAGACAACTCCAAAATTAAACAACTGCTGCCTTGTAGTTTGTTCTTGGTTGGACAAAGGCTATGGAAGCAAATCCAAAAAGAAAAGCAGGCTGAAATCGGAGTCAATGGCCTCAATGGCGCATAACCAGTTGACACGTACCGCTTAATTGTGTTGGAGGCGTGGTCGAGTCGGCAAAAAGCTCATGGTTGATAAATTCGAACAAAAGTCTCGAGTTCAAACCCACTGGCAGATAAATCTCGACCCCCTTGAATACTAATAATTAAGAACGAAGAAGAAGAAGAAGAAATACATTTGATTTGGATTTCAACTTTTAGTGCATGGAAGTTAACATCGTATTTTGAGTGACAGATAATGTTCCACCTTTGAAGTTTTTTCAGAAACTCCTAGTTGTCAGTTACATTTTTTAATTGATTATTACATCCTCTCTTCCCATTATCTTAAAATATCGGCCCCACCCCTCTTTCTAAAATAATGTCACACCCAAGGCTACTACCTACCGTAAAATTGCTATTTTGGTATTTTAAACTTGGTCAATGTTGTATATAGTGATTCATTTTTTTCCCTAACATTCCTTTATAAAATTCAAAACAGTGTTGTTGTTCTTTCTGGCCCCTTCATCCTCACTTTACACTTCATAAGTCAGAATCCTTAATTAGGAGTGTGGTGTCATTTATGAAAGACCCATAAATATCAAAATGGGATCATTGATAATTTACTTTGATCTTTTTACAAAGATTGTTCGTAATCTACTGACATTGTTTTCATTAATTTGTGTTTGCTTGCAGGATCCACATTATGATGGGGGATTGGCTTGATGACCTTTGCACTTTCTAGGGGCAGTAATCAATGATAGTTGAACATTTTCTACACTAGAGTTACATGGCCTATGTAGATAACCAGGCTGTCAAATTCACAATATCTTGTTAAGATTTTTACTTTATCCTGTGGTCCATGTCATTTTCTTGGTGTTTGTTTTTACACTGGTAGGATATTTCAAACTTTGTTCTACAAGGCACAGCCTTAGTTTATTAAAACTAAATTATATCATTGTTAAAAGAAAATTGTCTTTATATTTGCATTTGGCTTTAAAAGAATAGCTTTCTTAAATCTAATCACTAAGGGTTGTGAAAAAAAATTCATTAAAGGAAAGATAATCTTTATAATTTAACTCCCTTTAATTATTTTTTTTTTTTAAAGTCCGTGAACTAGTTAATGACCAAATTGGCTTGTAAAAAATGTCAGGTTGCTTATATTTGCGATGTTTGTTGCCTTATTTCCTCAAGTTTTTACTGTCTCCAGCCAAACTATTTGTGCCCTGTAGCCTCCACATTCTTGAAGCAAATCTGTGATTTTTTTTTTAACAAGTGTATATAAAATAGGTTTTTTTTTCATTTACTACATCAATATCTGAAGTGATAAAATTTAATCTATAGATTGTAATACTCCGTCCGTATGCACATCTTCAGAATTGTAATGGTTATTTCTCTTAATGTTTTAAGCAGTTTTTTTTAAGGCAAAAAAAAAATTGAAAATGTTCAAATTTTGTGAGAAAGAGATCTGATGAAACCAGATTAAAGAACAAATGTTGATGTTTATTTTTAAAAATAAATTACCACTTTTTGTAACCAGTTTTGTTGGGTTGGCTTGTATAAAAGTCTGAGAGAGATATGAATATGCTTGGGTTATGCTACACATGTCCCACACAACAAAATACTGAACACAGCACATGTGAAAGACATTTTATTCAAAAACTGTCAACCACATACAATAAAACTGTGATGTTGGCCACCTATAACAAACATCAAATCTAGACCATACAAATGCCAGTTTGACATATATCGATGTTTACAGGAACAAGTTTCACCCCTTTAGTGAGTATCTTCATCTAACAAGACATTGATGGTAGGGAGACTAGACACACCCACACTAAAAGCATATACAAACAGGAATGTTTAAAATACTTACCATGTTCCTATTAAGTTAATTTATCGACAAGCAATAGGATTATATAGTAAATATTCCAGTTGGATTAAGATGCACAATTTTGCTTTGTTTAAATTATTATGATTGCCTGCAAGATTTGTAATTTCTTACAAATGCTGATTCACAATGAAAAAGTGTATATACAACACTAAAAAATGGTGTAAATAATACTTAAATGTGTTACATCAATATCATAAATCAAAATATCACACAGGTTTTAAAAATTTGTATACAACCAAAAAGTTGGAACTGAAAAAATATTTTCAAAAACTTGATGCAAATGGCACCGTGAGATCCTTGTGAAAAATTGTGTGCAGATTGAATGCCTTATATGCGCAGGAATGTTTGAACAGGAATGAGAAATGTCTAAGTATAAACCTGTGCATGAGGGAATGGTTCGCTGTGACAATTGAAGTGGAAGACTGCACTAAACGTTTGTGACAGGTAGGGTATGCTACTTATGTACAGGGAACATCAATTCTATTGCGTGTCATCTAGTGCAACAAACTAATTGGTTTAATCAAGGTAACGTGAATTAATTGGTTTAATTACAGTAACATGAACTAATTGATTTAATCATTAGTGAACTTGGTGCTGCTTCAGTCAAAAAAATTATCTTTGGTGTGAATCAGAACACATTTGCTACCAATACCATAAAAAACTATTGCACTATTTAAAAAATTATTGCACACATAAAATAATGCCATGCCTACTGGCCAGAAAATTAAATAGATAATTGTAAAAAGAAAATTTGGATCCAGCCCAATTTGATAATGCAGTAGTCCAAGCAGTTTCATTCACTTATTCAGCAGACATGGATGAAATTTATGATCTCATCCAATTAATTTAAAAACAGCAACCACACACTTCCACACCAATGAAATAATATTCAAATCTAGTAACTAAAGTAAACATCTTCCAATTGGAGTATAATAGTACAATACACTAAAAAATTATTTGGTGTCTCGTTCAACCAAAACTGGTTTACATGTTCGTATGAGTGGACTTATGATGACCCCCATTTTGAAATAACTCCTGACAAAGATTATGGGTTACACTGTACTTATAAATGGTAATCTATCAAAATATTTTAACTAAAAATTGACAGTCTCATGACATTTAATACAATATACTGTTATCAAAACGATATGAATTAAGTAGGGCCAATGTTATTTTAACTTGTCAATGTTTTCTTTACAATGTCAACAACAGGTAGCTGATTCAAATATCTTTTTTTTGTTCCATACAGGTACAGTACATGTTCGTTGCTTACCTAACAAGAACATCAGGTTTTGGCGTAAAAAACAAATTACACAATTGTAGCTCATCTCTGAATTACATACAACAAAGTTAAGTAGTTGTTATTAATATCTCTCTATAGAAATTTATAAATCTAACTACACACCTCTTTGCAGTAATTAAAAACATTATCATTAAATTAATGTAGTCAATTTTAAACTGTATACAAGAGGATAAATGCAGCTATAAACAATGATACATCAGAAAAGAGAAGTGCAACGCTATTAAATTGACATTTGAGTGGGACATCGTTCATAAGGGGGCATCTTCCCTGGTCACGTAACGTGCTCTCTGAAGTGTCCTCGTGGGCGCAGGTTCCGTTGATGATACGATAGGCTCCACTGTTGACCACACTAGCAGGATAAAAAGTTATTAGGTTTATGTTCCACAAATAAAAAAAATTATTCAGTTTATGCTCCACAAATACCAAAAATTATTCGGTTTATGTTCCACCAATACAAAATGTTGGAGATAATTTACTTACAGGGCTGTAACTAGCAAATTATAAAATTTTGGAGATAATTTAATTACAAAGCTAAAAACTAGACACTCCCCCTCAATTTAAAATAAACCTGAGCTTATGCCTTCCTACTACACCACATTTACATGCGTAGTATACAAATGGCAAGTGTAAAAGCTGTGTTAAAAAAACTTATAAATTCATATTTTTATCAGTGTTGTTAATATGTTTAAATTAAGATTATTTGATAGATTTTCAGAAAAATAAAAATTAAAACAGTAGGTAGGTGAAACAAAACAAAACTAGGAAGCAATGTGTTTTACCTGCGTGTGATCTTACAGTGGAAGTTGTAGAACAGGGTCTGCTTGTAAACCAGCCAATCTTCAATGACCAGCAGATACAGGTTGGTCTGGGGCAAGGCTGTCACATAATACAAACCTGACATGCATGGTCCAGAGACATTACCTGTGATCATCCCACTGGGGCCTAGGGGAGAGTTTGAGTACAGGTGAGAATGGGGGATGTAGTGCTGGGAGGGGGGGTGAGAATACAGGTGAGTATGGGGGATATAAGGCAGGGAGGGGGGTGAGAATACATGTGAGTATGGGGGATGTAGTGCTGGGAGGGGGGTGAGAATACAGGTGAGTATGGGGGATACAATGCAGGGAGGGGGTGAGAATACAGGTGAGTATGGGGGATATAATGCAAGGAGGGGGGTGAGAATACAGGTGAGTATGGGGGATATAGTGCAGGGAGGGGTGGCAGAATACAGGTGAGTATGGGGGAATTAGTGCAGGGAGAGAGGCAGAGTACATAGTGTGGCAGAACATGAGTTATCAAAATTTCAATTTTCACTTGAGTTTAAAGCTGTGGGTTTACTATAACTGGGTGCAGGAGTAGGGGGGGTATGCATTTTTAATTAAAAGAATGAGTTTTCACTATGCTGTTCACACTGTTAATATTAAGGACTTCACAAGAAATTTATTTAAAGATTAAAAATAACATCAACAGCACAGTGGTACAAAAAAAAAAATATTTTGAAAGTACTAAAAAATCCTCAATAAATTAGCTTTATAACTGACAATGATATTAGGTATTCTTCAGAAAAAGAAAAAAAACAAATGCAGCAATTCAGTGCACGGATTACTAAGTATATTAGATGCATCCTGCATTGATCTACATTTCTGTAACTAATAAAACATGTTTGAGCATAAGATTCTGTGTTGGAGAAAGTAAATGTGAAAGAGTGTGACCCACCTAACTGTGAGTCATTTGTCTTGTAGCTAACAACATCCTGTATACAGCCAAAGTCGTTGTAAAATTTGGGGATTTTTCCTCGGTTCTTGTAGTAGTCATCTGTGTCCTCTGGTGTCTGGGGTAGGCCATCTAGGGTCACCTGCAACCAGCAGTAAACATTACAGACAGCTGTTGGGTCACATATGGAGGTGAACCAAAATGTTTTTAAACAATTTTAAAATTACTTAATTAGTTAATGTTACAGCACAAGATTAAATAAAACATTTTTTAAACAATAATATTTAACAATAATATTTTAATAATAATGTATTTGTATTTTAATTTATCTTTTTATTGTTACCTATTGCACTTTAAAAATCATTAATATAAATTTTCCCACTGCCATAGTAAGTCTAGTCCCAAATGTGTTGATAGCTTGGGGCAAGATATGAACACACATCAAAATATTCAATAATTTTTATTTAATTATTATAATATTTATTTAGTAACATCAAATAATTTATCCTTAGAGAAGTCAATAGAACAAAAATTAATTAATTAATTAATTAAAATAACTGACCTTGGGTTGTTCAGCTGAAATACGACAAGAGCCTTGGAAGTCAATGGACTCCTCCCGTATGAAAAACTTGTGCTTGTAAACCAAATGTTTCATCACCTCCCCTTCCTTGCGGCCCAGTGTCACTGACTGGTACTGGGACTCGTCCAGGGCGTTGGCGGTCAGGAAATCTGGGTCCATGACCAGGTACGCTGATGAATCAAACAGGTAGCACCTGGGGCAACAGGACAATAACATAAGCAAGTCTTATCAACGAGGGAGGGGGGGCTAGGAGAGTATAACCATTGGCCAATACTGTAAAACTTTTTAAAAGAAACAACTAATTGATAACTTAGTTAAAAAAATTAAGTTGATGCTTGGGACATTATATTCATTTGTAAAACTGTAAACCATTTTCTTGAGAACAACAGCTACTTGTATGTAGTGATTGCCTGAGGGAGGTGGCTAAAATCATCAGTGGTGAAACACAAAAATGTGACAAGTACCAAATGCTGTATGTGATAAATAGTACAGCAATGCAAGAGAAAAAAAAGCATAGGATTCTATATGTTTCTAATTCTTAAGGTTAGTTTAGTTTAGGTTCTGGATAGGGTTAAATAGCCCTCAGTTTACCTTGTCTGACAGTTTGGTTCACCATTACGACAGGTGTAATTCTGACCACAGGACTTTGTGAAATCTGATGCTTGCATGCTCTCAAGGGACTTCTTCTGGAAGTCATCGTACAAAATATCCAAGCCTGTCACACCCTCCACTCTCTCTGTGGCGCACCTCCTTCTGTCTGGGTTGGCTGAGCTCAAATAGCAAACCTCTGTTACAAAATTAAAAACAATTTAATTATTCAAGCTTTAAAAAGTTTTGATTTATTTTCAGGGGGGGGGGGAGAATTGGGGTGAGAAAAATTTAAAACTTTTAACCCAGCACAACAGCATTGAAGAATTGTAAATTGACACAGTAATTATGATTTTTTTATTATTTTTAAACTACACTAATATAATGAGTGTTTCAGTGGATCTATGCCATACATATTCCACATTACTGCCCCCCATTCATACAGCAGCATTGAACTATTATCAGCAATGCATCATTAAATTTTTTTTTTTTTAAAAACCTACTTTCAATAAATAAACATCCAAATATTGTTTTAAAAACCTACTCAACAACAAAATTGCATTCAAAAAACTTTTATAAAAAGAACCTACTAATGTAACAATCTGAGTCCACTGAACAAGGACAGCCTCCCATCAGCTTTCCATGGGTGATGTTACAATCTTTGTCTTCTTTAGGAGTCATCCCTTCAAACACAGCTTGAGATATTGTGTTAATTTTACCCACTCCAGCTGAGTCCATGTATGGTGTCGACACAGATGTCTTGTGGGGGGCGGAGCTTGTGCGCTTGTACCAAGGTCGTCTATTAGTGGGAACCAAGTAACAAAACACTGAATTTTCTTTAAATAAATATATTGTTTAACTATTTAATAAAGTAAAGTTCCCTTTTCCAACCTGACAGTCCATAGGGCAACTGAAGTAGAATTCACCTGTTTCTGTTACCTCAACATATGAAGGTATAATATGGTCAGTACTATGCCCAGCCACCTTTACTTTGCCTAACATGAGTTTGGTACCCATCAGAGGTGGGTGGACTTGGGACGTTCTATTGTATCCGGATTTGAACTCAAGACTTACGGATTAGCAGTCTTGCGCTCTACCGCTAGGCCACACCTTAACTATTAATATTATGTTATTAAAATATTTTTTTTTGTGGTCCAGAGGCCACAAAACCTTTCTGTGACTGCTGGATATGAAGGGATGTTGCAGTCAGCACCATGATAAGTTATGTTAACTGTGATGTCTAGTTCTACAGTGCTTGATGGCTAACACTAAAGCCTCAAACAAAGTACTGAATACAAGCCCAAAGAAAGTCTCGGAGTCCACACAACTATGCTAGATATCTTGCGCTGGTTGGGAAAATGTAACAATAATAACAGAGATAAAACTAATCTGTCCTCTTAATTTACAAAGTTGAACTTACTGAGTGGGGTCATAATTTCTGGTTGACCGATGACCAGGGTAGGTGCGGAACACTCCACTTCTTAAACCAACATTAGTCCACTTGACCTGGTCAAGTGACTCAAAGTTGCGTTTTTTCCAGATATCTTCTATAGGGTAGGTGATGAGGACATCAGCTCTGGAATAATGTGCAGCTAATTCAAAACTCAACCACAATATATCTACTACAGGGTAGGTTATAATGACATAACTTAAGGGATAAACAGTGACAACATGAAGACTTTAAGACAATATATCTACTAAAGGGTAGGTTATAATGACATAACTTAAGGGATAAACAGTGACAACATGAAGACTTTAAGACAATATATCTACTAAAGGGTAGGTTATAATGACATAACTTAAGGGATAAACAGTACTAACATGAAGACTTTAAGACAATATATCTACTATGGGATATTTTATAATGGGATAAAAACCAGTATTATCAGAAAAAAGGTCTTCTGTTAATTAATGTAATGATGATACTGGCAATGGAAGAAACAACATGGTGACTAGAACAAAGTGTACCTGATCCCTTTGTTGAACATCTGACCACTGTTGTCATCTTCGCATCCCTCGTCCTTGTCATGTCCATTGATCCACAGATGGGCTTCTAATGTTTTCTCTTCAAGACTGTCATTGTATGAGTATCTGATAGGGTCACAGTGACTCTGTGGGGCTACAAACACAAGATATAAATTTTTTTAGTCACTGCAACTCTGCAGTGTTACAAACACAAGATATACATTTTTTTTAGTCACTGCAACTCTGCAGTGTTACAAACACAAGATATACATTTTTTTTAGTCACTGCAACTCTGCAGTGTTACAAACACAAGATATACATTTTTTTAGTCACTGCAACTCTGCAGTGTTACAAACACAAGATATACATTTTTTTTTAGTCACTGCAACTCTGCAGTGTTACAAACACAAGATATACATTTTTTTTTAGTCACAGTGACTCTGTGGGGCTACAAACACAAAACATACATTTTTTTTAGTCACAGTGCTTTGGGAGGCTAGAAATACAAGATATAAGATTAACAAACTTTCAACTTTAACCTCAAGACAAACATGATTTTTCAAATAAAATTTTGGCTTCTTAAACTAAAAATCTAATTTATTATATTTATTAAAAATTTATTAAATAAATATTTTCTAGAGAATAGACGAAAAAAAACTAACCAAAAAACTGCTTAAAATATTTTCTAGAGAACATCCCAGAAAACAATTGTTTAAAATATTTTCTAGAGAATAGACAAAAAAACCCAGACAAAAAACTGTTTAAAATATTTTCTAGAGAATAGACAAAAAAACCCAGACAAAAAACTGTTTAAAATATTTTCTAGAGAAGAGACCAGTAAAAAAACGCAGAAAACAATTGTTTAAAATATTATCAATAGGACTTACCTAAGAAAATGGTGGAATGCTTGTAGGAGACCCGTAGCCCTGGGTACTTCTCATCGTTCTCCCTGACATCAATCATGTCGTACACGCCCTTCAGCTTCTCCTTCAACAGAGGAGAGCTATACATTTTTAGCAGGTTGTAATAGCTGTCCCCAATCTTTGAACGATCTACTGGTTCCTGAGACCGCCGAAATGCCTGTTGTCAATTAAAAACAAAATGTTAAATATAAAACCATGCTGTCTATTTGTAAATCAAGTTAAAGGAAGACTATGTTTCTGTTATTTGGGTTTTAAAGCAAATTTTTACCATATCTTCGCTGGCCAGGCTGAAGGCAAATGAATACTCTGTGCCTTTGATTGAACCATAGTAGTAAGTCTGAAAAGTAATTGATAGAAAGATAGAAAGCAATTTTTTTTAATTGACTCTTCAATATTCTATTTACAAGGAATGATTTATTTGTAAATTTTATAACTAGAAAACAAAAGTTGGCAAGTACTGGCAAGCTCCCACTTTTCTAGATAGTAATATTTAAAGTTACTAAAAAATAAAAGATGAACATGTTTGCATGCATACTCTAGTTTTTCCATCCCTGGCCTTGTTGATGACTTTCTGGCCAGATAAACCTTGCAACATGGCATCTTCAATCTCAGAAAACTCTGATGGCCTGCCATCTTTATCTTGCTCCAGCCCAGAGATAGGAATATAGATGGGATCTTCAAGCAACTGAGAGATAGAGAAAGAGAAGTAAAAATAATGAGCACAAATTCTTGAAATATACCAGCTTTCAAATATTGTATGTAGACATAATCTGAGTAATATATAAAACTGCTGAGCAATAATTTTCATAAACTGAAATCTAGAAAAAAAAAAATGTTTTAAAAAATGGATATTAAAAATTCAAAAATGTTTTAAAGAAAAGTTTTTTAAATTTTAAATATATTTGTGAAACTATTTTTTCGTCAAAACTTAGCACTTGGCTTGTCTGACTAAAGAATATGTAAAACAAAATTAAACCATGACACTAAAAGAGCCAATTTTAAATTTTGTATGCCAAACCTTAGCACTTGGTTTCAGCCTTGGATGGAAGACGACGCCAGCTTTTGAGTTGATAAGAAATGAGTAGACAGATCCCCACTGGTGTTTTGTCAGAAAGTTCTCAATCTCATCCAGTGTAGCATCCACACCTACCACCCCTATATACCTTGGTGCCAAAAATAAAGTTCCATCAATATTTTGGTAACTAAAACATTTTGGTAGTCTTTCAAACAAGTAAGCTGTTCTCATAAAATTTAGGTGGATCTTTCTAAATTATACAAAGATATAAGTGGTTATGATAATGGGCAACAGAAAAATAAACTTTTATTTTCTACAAACTTGATAACTAAATTGTAGCTGAGGCTAATAAATATAATGTGCAAAATTATAAATTAATAGTATTTAACAAATATTATTGCCATAAAGAAGGACATTTTTTTATATGTGATATGGTTTTGATTACCACTCAGATGTTGATCTATAAAGTTTGAACATACTTTCCAGATATTTTTGTATATGTGATATGATTTTAATTAGCACTTAGATGTTGATCTATAAAGTTTGAACATACTTTCCAGACATTTTTTTATATGTGATATAGTTTTAATTAGCACTCAGATGTTGATCTACAAAGTTTGAACATACTTTCCAGTTTTGTTGCTGATGACAGGCACAGCGTGGGTTATCATTAACCCTAACCCCCACGAGTCCAGGTACGGAGAGGTCCATAAAGTGGTGCCTGTCACAGCCATGGCAGACAGGAACTCAAAGTAGTTGGACATCTGGGTGATGAGATTCTCCCCGGTCAGCAGCTTCAGCAGGCTGCCATTGTGGTCGCAGGCCAGCGTCCCCGGGAACATCTCGGCATCCTCCACAATCAGGTAACTAAAGATTCTCGCCTGTGGAAAAGCGAAGGATCCCCCTGATGAAGACTGTGTAGTGAAACAAAAATACAGAAATATAGAAACAAAATTTGTGGACGAAGCATGGGCCAAGTTTGAACTAAGCCATGCCCGCTGGTATTTTGTAAACTAAACTACAACTAAAAACTTTAAATAAAAGTTGTAAACTTAACTACAACTAAAAAGTTTAAACTCTGTCTTGTAAAGTAAACTACAACTAAAAATAAAAAGTTTAAACATAAGATAAACTAAACTACAACTGAAAAATTTAACTAAAATAAACTAAAATATAAAATAAATAATTAAAATAGTTTGAAAATGCAGTAACAATCTTACATTAGGTAGAAGGTATTTGTTTTTTTCCATAGCAACGTTGTAGACGGACGTAAAGTTATACTTGCATATGGGTCCAGGCACGTACCCACTACGTGTGTAGTAGCCTGAAATGTGTCAAGTTGTTTAAGACCCAAAAAGTTTTTGAACATAGATAATGTTGTTTTCATAAACAATGAAATAGTAATTAATATAGTGTTTGGTATGTGCTAGCTAAGATGATTTAGTCGAAAACATTTTTTAAAACTTTAATACTGAATACTTTAGCAAATCCTGGTCACTATTAGATTCATTAATTAATTTTCATTACAATTACATAAAGTAACTTCAAAAAGATGCAAAATTGCTGCTAAAATTCTATTTTTAAAATAGATTTTGAAAATGCAAGTGCGGCTCACCCCAACTCCTCAGGTCAGGAGTGCAACAATTTTTTTTATTGCAAGCCCCTTGCCTACATGCTCCTACCAGAACCAGAGGGACCAACCCAATAGCCCCGAAAAAAATCATTGTCTCCAATAACTGCTTTTGACTGAGGTTTTAAAGTCTCAGACAGACGACAAGGCTCACCTGGCCCACACCTGACATCCTTCACAAGACTCACCTGGCCCACACCTGACATCCTCACCATCTGTATCCTTCACAAGACTCACCTGGCCCACACCTGACATCCTCACCATCTGTGTCCTTCACAAGACTCACCTGGCCCACACCTGACATCCTCACAAGACTCACCTGGTCCACATCTGACATCCTCACCATCTGTGTCCTTCACAAGACTCACCTGGACCACACCTGACATCCTCACCATCTGTATCCTCACAAGACTCACCTGGCCCACACCTGACATCCTCACCATCTGTGTCCTTCACAAGACTCACCTGGCCCACACCTGACATCCTCACCATCTGTATCCTCACAAGACTCACCTGGCCCACACCTGACATCCTCACAAGACTCACCTGGCCCACACCTGACATCCTCACAAGACTCACCTGGCCCACACCTGACATCCTAACCATCTGTGTCCTTCACAAGACTCACCTGGCCCACACCTGACATCCTAACCATCTGTATCCTTCACAAGACTCACCTGGCCCCCACCTGACATCCTCACAAGACTCACCTGGCCCACACCTGACATCCTCACCATCTGTATCCTTCACAAGACTCACCTGGCCCACACCAGACATCCTCACCATCTGTGTCCTTCACAAGACTCACCTGGCCCACACCTGACATCCTCACCATCTGTATCCTTCACTCACCTGGCCCACACCTGACATCCTCACAAGACTCACCTGGACCACACCTGACATCCTCACCATCTGTATCCTTCACAAGACTCACCTGGACCACACCTGACATCCTCACAAGACTCACCTGGCCCACACCTGACATCCTCACAAGACTCACCTGGCCCACACCTGACATCCTCACAAGACTCACCTGGACCACACCTGACATCCTCACAAGACTCACCTGGACCACACCTGACATCCTCACCATCTGTATCCTTCCCGTCTGTAGCAAACACAATGATGGACTGACAACCTGTTCTAGGCACACTTCTCAGAAGGTCAAAAGCTCTATCATATCCTTTCCTGTAATATCAAAACCTTCATAATCTTTCATGTAATAACAAAACTTTCATAATCTTTTATGTTATATCAAAACTTTCATAATCTTTCACATAATATCAATACTTTCATAATCTTTCCTGCAAATTCAAAATCTTTCATTTTATATCTAAACTTTTATAATTTTTCCTGTAAAATCAAACATGTTCATAATCTTTCCTGTAAAATTAAAACTTTCATAATCTTTTCTGTAATAACAAAACTTTCATTATTCATAACAGTAATAACAAATCTCTCAATACCTGACACAGCAATATGAAAATTTTTCTGTATAAAAAAAAAATTCTCTGAATTAAGCTAAACGCGATTCCTACGAAAAAGTTAGACAGAAACTTACTCCAGCTCAGTTGTCCCCCCTGCTTTGAGTTTGTCAATTTTTTCTATCAAATCTTTGCGATGTGCATTTGTTGCTGGGACCATCCTCTGTTCCTGACAGCTCAGTACTGTTGTGTCATAATAGTGCCACCTGTCAACAAATAGTGTCATAGTAGTTCCATCTGTCAAGATAAATTGTGTCATAGTAGTGCCACCTGTCAACATAAATTGTGTCTTAGTAGTGCCACCTGTAAAGATAAATTGTGTCATAGTAGTGCCACCTGTCAAGATAAATTGTCATAATAGTGCCACCTGTCAAGATAAATTGTCATAATAGTGCCACCTGTCAAGATAAATTGTCATAATAGTGCCAACTGTCAACAAATAGTGTCATAATTGTGCCAACTGTCAACAAATAGTGTCATAATAGTGCCACCTGTCAAGATAAATTGTCATAATAGTGCCACCTGTCAAGATAAATTGTCATAATAGTGCCAAATGTCAACAAATAGTGTCATAATAGTGCCAACTGTCAACAAATAGTGTCATAATAGTGCCAACTGTCAACAAATAGTGTCATAATAGTGCCAACTGTCAACAAATAGTGTCATAATAGTGCCAACTGTCAACAAATAGTGTCTTAATAGTGCCAACTGTCAACAAATAGTGTCATAATAGTGCCAACTGTCAACAAATAGTGTCATAATAGTGCCAACTGTCAACAAATAGTGTCATAATAGTGCCAACTGTCAACAAATAGTGTCATAATAGTGCCAAGTGTCAACAAATAGTGTCATAATAGTGCCAACTGTCAACAAATAGTGTCATAATAGTGCCAACTGTCAACAAATAGTGTCATAATAGTGCCAACTGTCAACAAATAGTGTCATAATAGTGCCAACTGTCAACAAATAGTGTCATAATAATGCCAACTGTCAACAAATAGTGTCATAATAGTGCCAACTGTCAACAAATAGTGTCATAATAGTGCCAACTGTCAACAAATAGTGTCATGATAGTGCCAACTGTCAACAAATAGTATCATAATAATGCCAACTGTTAATGACTTACAACTGGAATCTTTAACCTTTATATAAATAATCTGTCCTTTTTTCTCTTCTGACAATGTTCGAAAAATTGGTAAATGATAACAGGTTAATTATGTTTAATGACTTGTGTGGGAAATGAAAACAGCAGAAATAGTGTGACCTGAACAGAACTTACTTCCCCACTTCGTTCCAGTGACTGTTCCTGGCACAGATGACATTGACGTAATCTTGTTTCGTTAAAGTGTTGATCACAGTTTTTGCAACTGCCTTGGCTATGGAGAATTTCTCGCCAACCATGGACAAGCTATAAGAGAATAAATAATTAACTAACAGCTCAATCATTAATCCAATTGCTATTTATAAATATACTTCAAATGTATTACATTTTCATTCAATAGCTGAGTTAAATACAAGATCTGTTTGATATTCTTTTGGTATACACTGAGTTAGATACAAGATCTGTTTGATTTTTTTTGCCTTTGCAAAAAAGTCAGTTATTGGAACAATGAATCCACAAATTTTTCAAATTCAAACTAAACATACAAGCGTTTCAAGAGCGTAATATATTCAAGTTCAATAATGTTGCAAAAAAAAAAAAAGCTTAACATTTAAATTAAGTGTTACTTGTGTTTCAATTAATTCAAAGATTTAATATGAACCTTCTACACAATGAGACAACCTAATTTTTGTTGCTGAGTTGTTTCCCTTACATGACATGAAAGTGTTTTGATCAGAAAAAAATCCAGTTCTACTAACCTGCAGTCCAAGATAATGATGACATCCTTTGGTCCACTGGTGGCCTGGATGTACCAGGGTCGGACTCTAGGATCGTAATCGTCATAGAAACCTGCAAAATTGTTTGACCACTCGCGACCAGGGAATAATCTTGTCACACCAGTCACTGAGCCGAAGTACTGCCACCTAGTTTGGAAAATTTATCATCACTTTTTACACACTATTGCAATTGTATGATGAAAACAGTACAAATAAACATGTTATTATTACAAACATATTGAGGGCCTTAAGAATACACAAAGTTACTTCAACATTTCTGCTTTTTATTCTTTGCATAAACAAAATAAAAATATATATCTGCACAATGCCTAAAAATAACAAACTGTTATCATGTGACTATATTCTTTCTGATGCTGAAAATCTCAGGCAAAAACTAATAGTTTCTTTAGCTGTCTGTCCTGTTGTTGTCATATTCACTTTATTTAGCAATAATTTCTTAGCTTATTTATTTTTTTATGAATGCAATAAAATTGATGCATTTAAGTGAATTTTGTTTTTCAAAATAAACTCTTTAAAATCAGTTTCCTAAATGTATGTGTAACTGCAGTAAGTACATGATATTTATATGATCTTCAAAATATGTATTTACATTTGTTTTAATTATGCTAATTAAAATTAAGTATGATTGAGTAAGATAAATGCAGTCTCATCAATCAGATCTGACATTAAGAGACTGCATGGGATATCAAGGTACCAAATGAATTTATTTGTGTGTAAGTCTGAGTCAAATGGCTTGAGCCTAACCTGTCAATAAAACCCACCAAACAGTGACAGAGAAAAATTATCTGTAAATATATGGATAATTTCATTAGCCCCTAATAATTGTTCTGCCAAAGAGATTTTTAACAAACCTATAAAACTTGCTATATTTTTTACTAAGATTAGGAAATTTTAAATTTTAAATACAGTATTATAAAAAAACATTATACTGAGATTTGGAATTTTAAAATGTTGCTTGTCTTTATCTGATGATGGATCATTGACATGCTGAGCTCAAAAAAATATATATATGTGGAGGTTAGTCAACTGATTGTTCCAAGAAATTATTTTCATAGAAAATGTATTGTTCATTAGGATTTACCTTAACCACCTCAGACAACATAAATGATCTGGTTTATAACACCAACTACCCCAGGCAACATAAACTAGTTTCATCAGGTTTATAATACCTAAGTAGAGGATCCTTTGCTGCATTGCGGAGAAATGTCTCTTCAAGCTTTCTAGTGAAAAGGATAGTATCAATAACATATGGATCATCTCTTGGTACTTCATCAGCTATTTTTATTGTGGAGTTGAGCTTGCTGACTTTTTGACGGAAGTATCTGATAAAAATTTGAATCAGTAATTTGCTTGGTAAATGAGATACAAATACATTCAGTGTCAATGACAAACTTATTTTTTTGTGGATATTTTTTAATGATTTATTAAAGAAAATTAGTACAGCACATTACAAAGTAATGTAACAATAAATCACAGAATTTTCTTAAGAATAATTAATTCATATATAGCTAAATTATTAATTTAAAAAAAAAAAACAGCAAAGTCCAGAATGGTTCAACTTACGGACTAAACACCAAATCCTTTGGTAGCTTATCAGGGATGTCAGATTCATAGTAGGTGTCATCAGGCAGGTCATTTAAAGTTTTGACATTGGTGCTCTGGTTTCTTTCATAGTACTCGTCATAGAGCTCGCGAACTTTTTCCACAAGTGCCTGAAAGTGTAAGAACTAAGTTTTCCCATCTGATGGTAATCTCTATTGCTAATCCAACACTAAATTACATTATAAAAATTTAGTTTTTCCCAATCTGTTGTTAAGAAATAAATAAATCACTGTTGCTCCACTTTTTTACTTTTATATCCTGATTCTGCTTACTCTTACCCACTATGTCTGTCAACTAGAAGCTAGTCTTTACTGCTCTTGCTCACTCAACACCTATTTTGATCACATGAGAGTAGCATATGTACTTTTTTAAACTTACAGTTGCTGCTGCAGTTTTCTTCCTGAAATATTCTCCCAGGCTATCATTAACGAGCTTGACCAAATCAGTGCCCTCTTTGGTTTCTTGTTTGTATGTGGCCTGATCCAGGTAACTTTGGGTAGAATCTCTCATAATGCCATCATTAGCCAACTTGTTGAAGAAATCAAAGCAAACCAGTATTACAATAAAATTCTCTCTGTGTTTACCCAATAAATTCTAGTGTAACTTTCGTGTTGGGGCAGATAGATTAATTGAAATTATTCACACCTCAAACATCATTTTCTAAATTAAATGTATCAAGTGTTACTTTTTTAAAAATCATGTCCTACCTGTAAAATGTAATTCTGTATCAACATGGCCCAATTCTGAACATCGCCAGCAAGAGTTCCAATTTCATGGGCTTCCTCTCCATGAGTAGCATGTGTATAAAACTTTACTGAAGAGCAGAACAGGAGAAAGACCAAAAGGATCTCCTTTTTAAACATTTCTATTTTTGATTTAGTACATTCAGCTCAAATTTTCATTATAAATGAAACACAAATAATCAATTTAAAAAAACATGAACAAAACTGGATCATGCTTGTATATCTCTGCATTGTTATGATGGAACATCTAATGAGAGCAAGCACATCATTAACCTGGGGAGAAAAAAATATTTAAAGAAACATTAAGCAACCCTTTCCACTTGTATTATCAAATCTAAGCATAGCCTTTAAAACTATAATAAAATCTAGTAATGAAATAATATTATTAATGTTGACTTGGGTTTATGATTCGTCAATAAAGTATCTTACTATAAAAAATATTAGTACTAGAATGATAGATAATAATTAATAATAGATATTCTAGCTAGATACTTCAAAACAAAACTAAATCCGTTGCTGTACCACCGAACGATTTGTTATCATGACATGAAACATCACAGTTTGGCAGTTGACTAGTAAGTAGATTCTAGTACTTGAGACAAGTGAGTAGTGACTCAAAGTGAGTACTCCATTCCATTAGCAGAGCAGTACGAAGAATGTTTTCTAGAAACTGTAAAAACTGGTGGTGGTCCTTCTGCCTTTACTAACTTAACTTTCTTAGTGTTTAGTGAAGTTTAGTCGCCTTTTTCCTTTTTTTTAGTCCATTTGGTGGCTAGACATTATGGTACGAATAATAAAAATAAAATAGACTAGATCTACCCTTTTAATATTCTTAAGTAATGCTGACCTGTATAATGTTCAGAATTGGCACCTAAGTAGTAAGTATTGATTTCCAATTTTTTATTGTTACACTTGCAGAAATGATAATGATGGTGGCAGCCATATTGTTTACTAAATTTTTCAAATTATATAATTTTAAAACTAGCGAAACAAATGTTTTTTAAATTTAATATTTTATAAAAAAAACTTTTGAAAATGTTTAATAGAGGACCTAAGATAAATCTATTTAATATCAAGCCATTTTAATATTTCGTCTGAGTTTACGATTGCACTTCACACATTAATGTTGAGTTTTCTTTTTTTACCTTGAATGGTCCTCTAAAATCTATATTTATCAATAGATTCTAGAATCAAGGTTGTATGCAGTTGTCACACTATTACTGTTTTTTTCTCTCTTTAGGCTTAATTAGACTAACTACTAGACTGCCCACTAGATTACCTATTAGACTACCCACTAGATTACCCACTAAAATACTCACTACCCACTAGACTGCCTACTACCCTCCCGCCCATCTCCCCTTCCTCACATCCCCCTCCCTCCCCCAACCCCCCATACAGTGTTTCTTCCAGACTTTTTTCTCCGGGGGGGGGGGGGGCACTTGAAATCTTCGGGGGGCGGTAAACTTTCTTCGGGGGGGGGGGGGGGCGGACACTGTTAAAAGTATATATTTTCTATATAAATTATATAAATTTCCTTTCGTTCGGGGGGGGGGCGGTAAAAATTGTTCGGGGGGCTTTGCCCCCCCCCCCCGAAGAGATGCCTGGAAGAAACTCTGCCCCCATATAATTTATATAGAAATTTTTACTTTTACCTTAACCCACCGCCCCCTCCCCCGAAATTTTTAGAGAAAAATCTGGAGGAAACACTGCCGATAGAGTAAACACGACCAATGACCCTACAGATGGTCCGTGCGTAGCATTTCAAAAATCCAATCAGAAATGACATGAGTTAAATCACAAACCCTCTTCTCCAATCACCAAACCCCTCCCCAATCACTACACCCCACCCACTTAAAAAAAAAAAACCAACAGACGGCTAATATAACTTCTCTGGTAATTGAAGTCACTCAAGAGGTGGAAGACGTAGACTTCACTCCCTGAAGAAACGGCTGCCCTTGGAGAACTGCATATGCTCATTGGTGTTACTTGAAATTGTTTTTAAATACATTAGGATCTTTCTAAGGGTAAGGCTGATTTTTTAAATATTTAAATACAAGAGTATTTCAATAGAAATAGCTTGTCAGAGGGTTTTTTTTCTTTTTCTTCTTCTTCGTTCTTAATTTTAGTGTTGGGAGGGATCACCTCCAAAACAATTATGCGTGTCAAAAGGTTATGCGCCATTGTGGCCGTTGACTCCAATTTCAGCCAACTTTTCTTTTTGGATTTGCTTCCATAGCCTTTGTCCAACCGAGAACAACCTACATTTACAAGGCAGCAGTTGTTTGATTTTGGAGTTGTCTCTCCTAGAAGAGTAGCTGTCCCCAGCTAACGAGCCTCATCTGCCCCAGGATTCGTACTCAAGGCTATTCGGTTTAGCAACCATGAGTTTTACTGACTCGACCACGCCGACCCCGAAAAAGGGGTTATGAACGCTCTAATATATTTCATTTCATTGGATGGGATTCTGAAATTGAAATGTAACTCACGCTAGGGAGAGATCAAAATATAACTGTATATAGGTCTATAAATTATATAGGCCTTATGTAGGTCTGTATATAGTCTATATTTCTTTACTCATCCAGCATTTACATTAATCGGTGCAGCAGAAAACTCATTGTCAATGCCGCCCAATGGCGAATCTTAATGTATGTCGCACATGTTCACAGTTGTATAACCGGGGGTGGGCGCGCGGTTTATGTCACCTTCTCCGTATGTGCCGCCCCCATACTAACCTAGCCACACATATTCCCGAGTCAGCAAACATATGACATTAGCGAACACTAACACGGTTCGTTAATGCCTTGATGCCAATGACCTTTAAAAAACAGAAGAAGAAAAAAGCGTCACACAGAGGCGCATTGTGAAGCTCGTGATTTAGTACATAAGCCATAGTTTTGTTAAAACCATAAGGTTGATTTTGTCAGTGGCCTACGTAGGTTTTTTAAAAATATTTTTATCTACGTTCGCCAGATATCGCCTGTAATTTGGTAAAAATATTATGATTGGTCAAAGGTTTTTTAATGTTACCATTGAATAAAGGAACCTAAATTGGATGAATTATTACTCTATTTTCTCATTCTTTGTTTGTTCATTTATAGGTTATCTTGTCGAATGTATCTAGCGCATTAAACAATATAATTTAAAAAAATTTAAGGGTCTTCACGTTATCGTTTTTTTTTTTTTTATTTTTCTAAAGCGCGGGCTGTTTTGAACATCGTGGTTTGCGGGCGACCTCCCCATTTGCCTTTCCTTGAAAATCTAAAGATAGCCATTATATAACCTGCGTGTCGCCTTCATTAGAGCTGTCTGTACGTTCGCACTCAGTCCAAGTGACTCATAACAAATCACCATTGACAAGCTGTGAATGTAAGGCTAACAGAGACACCAGGTTTATGACAAGCTGTGAATGTAAGGCTAACAGAGACACATGTTTCATTGTGACAAGCTGTGAATGTAAGGCTAACAGAGACACATGTTTCATTGTTTGTGACAGGTTGAGAATGTAAGGCTAACAGAGACACCAGGTTTATGACAGGTTGTGAATGTAAGGCTAACAGAGACACCAGGTTTATGACAGGTTGTGAATGTAAGGCTAACAGAGACACCAGGTTTATGACAGGTTGTGAATGTAAGGCTAACAGAGACACCAGGTTTATGACAAGCTGTGAATGTAAGGCTAACAGAGACACCAGGTTTATGACAGGTTGTGAATGTAAGGCTAACAGAGACAGCAGGTTTAAGACAGGTTGTGAATGTAAGGCTAACAGAGACACCAGGTTTATGACAGGTTGTGAATGTAAGGCTAACAGAGACACCAGGTTTATGACAGGTTGTGAATGTAAGGCTAACAGAGACACCAGGTTTATGACAGGTTGTGAATGTAAGGCTAACAGAGACACCAGGTTGTGAATGTAAGGCTAACATAGACACCAGGTTTGTGACATGCTGTGAATGTAAGGCTAACAGAGACACATGTTTCATTGTTTGTGACAGGCTGTGAATGTAAGGCTAACAGAGACACCAGGTTTATGACAGGTTGTGAATGTAAGGCTAACAGAGACAGCAGGTTTGTGACAGGTTGTGAATGTAAGGCTAACATAGACACCAGGTTTAAGACATGCTGTGAATGTAAGGCTAACAGAGACAGCAGGTTTATGACAGGTTGTGAATGTAAGGCTAACAGAGACATCAGGTTTGTGACAGGTTGTGAATGTAAGGCTAACAGAGACACATGTTTCATTGTTTGTGACAGGTTGTGAATGTAAGGCTAACAGAGACACCAGGTTTGTGACAGGTTGTGAATGTAAGGCTAACAGAGACACCAGGTTTGTGACAGGTTGTGAATGTAAGGCTAACAGAGACACATGTTTCATTGTTTGTCACAGGTTGTGAATGTAAGGCTAACAGAGACACCAGGTTTGTGACAGGTTGTGAATGTAAGGCTAACAGAGACACCAGGTTTGTGACAGGTTGTGAATGTAAGGCTAACAGAGACACCAGGTTTATGACAGGTTGTGAATGTAAGGCTAACAGAGACATCAGGTTTGTGACAGGTTGTGAATGTAAGGCTAACAGAGACACATGTTTCATTGTTTGTGACAGGTTGTGAATGTAAGGCTAACAGAGACACCAGGTTTATGACAGGTTGTGAATGTAAGGCTAACAGAGACAGCAGGTTTGTGACAGGTTGTGAATGTAAGGCTAACAGAGACACATGTTTCATTTTGACAAGCTGTGAATGTAAGGCTAACAGAGACACATGTTTCATTGTTTGTGACAGGTTGTGAATGTAAGGCTAACAGAGACACCAGGTTTGTGACAGGTTGTGAATGTAAGGCTAACAGAGACACATGTTTCATTGTTTGTGACAGGTTGTGAATGTAAGGCTAACAGAGACACCAGGTTTAAGACAGGCTGTGAATGTAAGGCTAACAGAGACATCAGGTTTGTGACAAGCTGTGAATGTAAGGCTAACAGAGACACCAGGTTTGTGACAGGTTGTGAATGTAAGGCTAACAGAGACACCAGGTTTATGACAGGTTGTGAATGTAAGGCTAACAGAGACACCAGGTTTATGACAAGCTGTGAATGTAAGGCTAACAGAGACACCAGGTTTGTGACAGGCTTTTAATGTGAGGCTATTTGGAGGGTCTTGTGGTATTTTAAACACTGAAATCAAAATGTATACCTCGATTTATTAACATGCTTCAAAATCTTGTTAATTCTTGCTATCCTTCATTATCCAGCATGCGGACAACTGTGAGGACCAGTCGTGGAAGTAAACATAGACCTCTATAGCCTCCCAGTTAATAGTCCGATGGCCAGTCGTGGCCGTGGAAGTAAACAAAGACCTCTATAGCCTCCCAGTTAATAGTCCGAATGTACTTTAATCAGCCTCACCCTTCACTAGACTAATAAACAAAACACCAAGTCAACACAATTAATGCCACTACTTAACATACAACAGCAGGCGGATTTACACCTTAGAGAGTGCACGTAGATCTATTATATAACAACGCAATATTATATTTTCCACCCACCAAGGCACCCCCATCAAAATTTACATAATAATTTTCTAATCCAGCGCTAATTACATTTACAAACACATACATATACCAACATTACCCAAATCTTACCCCGAGAGAAAAAAAATAACCACATTTTTTTTTGTTTTGAAACGTTTTTACTTATTATGTTACTAACGGTATATATGTGCGCATAGTTTTTGCTAATACCGGGAAATAAACAACATTACTAAACAGGAAAAAAGTGGAGGAAATTTGGGGAGGGGGGATTGGGTGAAAGAAACTTGTTTTTTTTTAAATTTAAAAAAAGGTTTTTGAATACCGACGTACACTATATAACGCCATGAAACGTATTAGTATAACAGTCTGATAAACGACCACCACACCCCCTGTTTTATTGGATGACCGACCACGCCCCCTTTCTGAAACCGAATAGTTTTGTGATGTGGCCCATGTTGATGTGGTATTATTGGTAGTGTGGTAGTGTGGAGGAAGGAGCTGATCGCACTCTCGTACGGCCAACAGTGCACACGTGACAAGTTGACATTACTGAATGGACTCAGGTCCAGTTCATTTCAAGGTAACCGTCTCGTCCCTCAGCCCCAATGTTGTTTGATGGTCTGTGCTGAAAGTGTTTATTGGATGTTCTCAAACGTGTTCATTTGATGGTCCGAAAGTGTTTATTTGATGGTTCCTTCATTTGATGGCTCCAATCGTGTTTTTGATGCTCCCAAACGTTTTGATATTCAATAAAAAATAAAATGTTATTTGATGGACCTTGATCCGAGATGATCTGTGTTAAAAGTGTTTATTTGAAATATATATTTTGTTTTGTTTAGCAGGGGAGTCTATAAGTATAAAAAGACGCTGTACTGTTTAAGCTATCCACCCCCCCCCCCCACTCATCGTCAAAGTCAGACCTACTAAATAACGTCATAAATTACTTTAATTTTAATAAGTCTGACGTAATATATGGACTACACGTGTGTCATATTTACCAGTAATACGGGCTACTTCATCTTTCTTGAATCCCCTAATCCCCCCTCCCCTTTACACACACGAAACACATCGTCACAATAATCTTAACCCACCCTCACAAAGAGAGACGTGATTTAAGGTCATCTAAGGACGACCCACTGCGGGCACTTACATTAGGGCATCAGGGCCTATAGACTTAGACTTACAAGGATTTACTGTTGATGGAACTTTATCCAAAGCAAATATATTACTAAAATATTTTTTAAAATAATTTTCATTAATATTTTATACGAGCATGCTTGCAGCATCACATAAGATACATATGTGTATTTGAGTCTTTAGATGTCTTCGAAGCGTGTAGGCCGTGTAGGCTAGACCTGTTGGCTACGTGACATTTCGCCACGGTACGTGTACTCCGTCACCCTCCGGCTTTCCTGGATACGCGATCACGAAACACAGTTGCCACGCTACACGCGGCCCGCACGTTCCGTCTGCGTTTCAATGTTTACTTTTCATTGGTGGAAAAATATTGAAGGGCAATGCACTCGTGTAAACCTGTAGGTGATTAGCTGATTTGGAGCAACAAAAAAAAAAGTAATGTAAAGAAGACCTTAATATCATTCCCAGTTAATTTCATCAGTCCCAAGACGCTTCCGCATATCATGATCAAGAAATTAGCTTTTAGTTTCGAAAATGAAACAATAATACTTGCTCATGTTAAACAAACACGAACTGGGCCAGGACTATGATTAAAATTATAATTAGATCTACGATTTCGAAGTGTCAAGTGTTTTATGGGGTAATCTATCGTTTTGGGTACGTAAAATCGCCCGCGGCTATTAATGTACGAAAAAGTTACCTCATTGTCAAGGCTTTAGTAGAAGTATATTGTGATATATTTGTGTCAAATATTATAGATAAATGAATAATAAACCTAAATCAATGGCTAAATATATCAATATATGCCAGAAATTAACTTTAAACAGCAGTGTTTGCGAGCAAGATTTGCTATATAAACAGCAGCCATTTGTAAAATAGAGTGACTTCCGCCTGTCTCGCGCTATATCCGCTATAAAAAAAAACTTAAACAAGATGGCTGCTATAGTAAATGAGCATGGTTGCATCTGTTGGAAATATCGCTAGTCTTCATTTATTACTGAAAAGTTTTAATTCAATTGTTTAAAAACAGGTACATAAATGAAAGAAGGAAACATTTTTGTATTTTTCAAAACATAAATCCTCCTCAAAATGTGAAATAATTATTAAAATTTAAGGAGTCACCTGTTTTTCACATTACTAGTCGCGGGCGATTTTACGTACCCAAAACGATAGATTACCTTTTATGGAGATACCATCACTGATAGTAAATTAATAAAATGATATGCCCACAGATAGCAGAGTAATTTTTTTTTTTATTAACTTGATTCCTATTTAAGAAATAACTATGGGTGCACGATTTAGCGCATAAGTATGACGATTGTTTTAAGCATTTCTTTAATAAAGAAATACATGTTCTGTCTCTCATAAGTGGACGGTACTAAATATGTAAAACTCAAAACGATTTAAATTAAGGTTTAAATTTAACATTACGAAACAATTCCACATCAATTGAAAAGAAAAAGTTCTAAAATGTGTTTTGACTGTGTAAAGGCTAACCAGCTTTAATCATTAGCAGTGTTTCTTCCAGACTTTTTTTTAACCGGGGGGGGGGGCGGTCAACATTTTCCGGGGGGGGGGGGGGGGGGGGGGGCGGACACTGGTAAAAGCATGTTTTCGATATAAATTCCATTTCGTTCGGGGGGGGGGGGTAGATTTTCTTCGGGGTGTCTGCTTTCCCCCGCCCCCCCCCCCCCCCCCCCCGAAAAGATGCCTGGAAGAAACTGATCATTAGCCTATAGATCTAGATCACAAGTGATACATTATAGAATTTAAACACATAAATTTAAGATACAATTCCTTAGTGGTTTATTTGTATCAAGATGTCAACGACATAGATTTATTTTTATTTACAAATCCTCGACTCACTTCCAGTGCACACAAGAGTAATTGTTAAATAGGTAAATAAAAATAAGTAAATTTAAAAAAAAAAACATGTCGACGCCACTGTTTGTGATTCAACAACACTGACGAATACTAATGCGCTTACATCATTCATTGAAGCCGGAGGGTCGTATTTTTTTTTTCAAATAATTTATAATCTCTTCAGTTTAAATGTAGACTTTTTTTTCTATTATAATTTCGTACTCGAAATGTATTTATTGCGGACTATTAGATCTAAATCTATTATTTTAAAATATTAAAATCATTATTTGCTTTAATTTCGACTCCAGGGCCCATGCTAGGACAAATGGATGACGAAACGCAGCCTAGATAAAGTAACCAATCATGAACGACCTCGATGAATGCGCACGACACGTGATGTAAACATTGTCTGTAGGTGCATGAGAAAACCATAGTAAAACCACGTGCGCACGGGCCATGAACGCACACATTCATCACATGTCCACTGAAAGCTGATTGGCTGTGGCCGCCGTGCCCCCATTTTTTCATTGGTCTAGACACCCCCGCCCTCGCCTTGAAAAATTTACTATGCGGAGAGGCGTTGTATTCAACAGAAAAATACGTTAGAATGTCCTTACATTACCTATGCCGTGAATTGTCAACAAAAAGATAGCAAAACGGATATTATGTTCTGTCCTTTGTCAGAAACTATGAAACAATTATCGGATATTAAGGTATGTTAGGATTTTTCTATTTTTTTCTAATTTTTTAAATCTGTCTGTTCGTGTTCTCAGATTTGTTAGATTCAAAGAAGAGTCACTGAAATAAAAATATTTTTTGTTAATTTTTCCTACAAATTTTTTATGTAGCCTACAGATCATGATTATATATTATATATATTAGTATCAAAATGTAATCCCTTTTTTACTTAAGCAAAATTAAAAAATTGCACCATACTTTCTTAGGTTTAGGCAAATTGTATGTATTTGAAATATGTTGAAAATGAACCATTCCAGAAGGCCAAAGGCAACACTAAATCGATACATCACAAGGTGTGGTTATTCCCCTTTGGCATTATTTCGCTCGCTGTTTAGTTCTGCTATAAAAATAGAACTTGACCTAATTCGCGTTTTACTGTTAAATTTTTGTTGTTGATAGATCTTGCTTTAGAATAATCGACTTATACAAGCAATACAATATTAATTAAAATATTATTACTAGATCTAGGTCTATAAGTAGTAGAAATCTAGATCTAGATTCTAGGTGTATAACTTAGCTTAGGATAGTGTAATAAAATGTGATTAGACCAGCCTAGGTACAAAACTAAAAGCATGCATGGAGTGAATGACTGCTGGCCATGAGTCCAAAGTTCATGAGATTTTTGGGACAGCCGTCTATAGTAAATAGATTTCTATATAGGCTAGATATTAGAATCAAAATGTAGACTAGATAAAGCATAACGGAAAAAAGGCTACGACCTTCTAGACTGTTATAATCACACACACTAAATAAAAATAAGTGCCATTAATTTAATTATCACAAGTCGTCAGAAAAAAACTTAATGCATATGCCTATTGATTTAAAATTAATTAGTTTAATTTTAATTAGGCCCTTAATTCTAGAAATCTATATTAAATAATTATTTATGATAAAGCCTGTAGGCCTATTTAAAAAAAAGATTCCCTTATTTGTTCAGATCTAATCTAGCTAGAAATTAAATAAATTTGGTCGACCAAACATTTTTAAAAAATGCACCTTCAATTTTATTTTGGATTGATCTTGTTTTCAAACATCTTATTGTTCCTTGGGCCTAGCTATCTAGATCTAGTAAATTTTAATAACAGGCGTCTATTACAGCCTATGAATGGTTGTTAACGGCCAGGGACTTTATTGTTGTAGAATAAATGCTGTTTTATGAAAAGTTAACTGTTGTTTAGATTGGGTTATGGGTTAGTCACGTCTATTGACCCGTGAAGGCTCAAACAAAATACTGATGAGTTAAATGGATTTTTAAAAAGTATATTTTTAGCTTGCCTTTGGGCGGTGCCCGCTGAAAGAAACGTACCATACCACATTACTAGAGCCTAATCTGCCTCTGGATGTAGTCTGTCTATAGCACTGTAAAGTGCAGCTGAACTCTCCTGTTATGCAACAGGGATATTTTCTTAGAATGCTAAATGTAGGCTTTTTTCTGCCCTCATTTGTACATAAGTCATTATTCTTTGTAATAAAAGGACTGTTTACATTTTACATGTATATATGTCATAATATATTATGTCATTGTAATGTACTCACATCTAGTGTCATTTAGTCATACATAGATGTTTTCACAATACTATCTTTGTATCTGCTAAGCCAGCCTTTTTTTTGTTATTTCCCTTTGATGTTTTAGTAAAACAAATGTGTCATTTTTACCCACACACTTTATATATATATTTAGATATAGATCTGCTTAATGTTATGTATAATTGTTTTTCAGATGGAGACAAAAATCATGTGTTGTTCAGTAGGGAATGACATGGAGAGGGATGCTGTGGAATCATTGTTGTCTATATCTCAAGGCGTTAAGAGACCTGTTTTTCTGGAAAATCAGGAGGAGTCGCACAGAAGCAGTTCTGATTGTTTAAAAAACCAAATTAAAAGAGAAAGCACTTTAGAACAGGTACAGTTTTAATTAACAAAGCTCTAACAAATGTCCTTTTGAAGTTAAACTTCAGACTTAGTGATTTGTTATTGAATCTGTTTTACTATTTAAATTTTAAAAAATGTAGATATCCTCTTCGCAAAAGTGAACATTTAAATTAGGCACTGAAATGTTATAACAGTTAGGCCAGTATAAATCTAAAATCTAAGTATAAATCTAAAAAATGTAGTTTTAACTTTTTGTGTGTGTAAAAAATGAACACATTTTTTTCTATATATTTTCAGCTTCTAAAAGGAAAATGTTTAGAGAACTACAGTCGTCTTTGTACGCCTGATCAAACAAGCAAAAAAGTTTCTGTCATTGTTTCTCCAGCACCTTCGTTTTCTTCTACCAGTACCTCAAAGACATGCAACAATCAATCCAGCACTACCTCAACATCATCAAAAATATTTCTGGGGCACAAACGGAGAATTCAGGAAATGTGTGAAGACATGATGTCAGAAAATTTCTCACGGCTTCCAGCAAAATCTAAACGCTGTTCATCCCCTGAGCCAGGATCAAAGTCTGAGACTGTAGACGAAGCTCTAGATCTTTCTTTATCTCTGAGCTCAAAGAGCAGCTTTGAAACACACTTAGAACAGTGTGAACAGATGAGGCCTCTCTCACCGTCTACACCAATGTCTAGTTTTGGTAGGTGTGGCTGTGAAACGTGTATTTTAGACTCCCACCGACCAATTACTCCCTACTTCACAGAGGATTTACCTCGTTGTCTTACACCTTTAGACCCAGGGCCTAGCACTGACTTTGCTACGGACAATTTTAACTCTGATTCCCAGTCACAGTTTTCTCACCAAGATAATAATGATGATGAGGATGAAGATACCACTGATGATGATAGTGAAGTTTCTCAGCCTCCTGTTAGATTCTTTCTTCATCAAACCTCTGTAGACTCTGAATCCGGCTATACCAAAGCACCAGCTTCCCCTCACAAACCTGTGTCAAGCCTAACAGATAAACATTTCAAGACAAAATCAAATCCTTTTTCTCCTATTAAACCTGCAGAGTATACACAAGGAAGAGTGAGAGCTAATTCTTACTCAGGAGATGGGCATGACTATAAAAACTATTCAGAAACAAAAACAGATGGTAGGGAAACAGTCCTGCGAGCCCCATGTTCTTCTGATTTTAATAAATCTGTTAAAACTTCTGCTTATTCACAAGAAAGAAGCCAACAAGATGCTGGTGGTAGTAGTTCCATGAATTATTCACTACCAGCAAATGCCCCTACTGTTTTGAACACAAATTTTAAACAATACAGACCCCAGCTTTTCGGCTCTGCTGGTCCATCAGATAATTGCCATGAACTTGCATCTCTCCTGAGATCTTCCCTGGCTCCACTGCCTCTTACAATCACATCCAACACCAGTCCGCTGCAGATAGCCAAGCAACATCCAATTCATTTGCTGAAGTCCAACTCTGCACCCAGTGTTGTTGGCAGTAGCAGTTCATCCCTGAGTGCTGGAAACCACATCCTTCTAACACCTCATTCATTTGACCAGCAGTCACAAATGTCAGTTGCTCTATCTACATCTCATGTGGTCCCATCAGCTAGTAATGAAGCTGCACTTATAACTGTAAATAAAACATCTTCTCTGGCTCAGCTTAAAACTGAAGAGTTGGGAACAAAACCACCTAAGACAGGTGAAACTGAAAATATTGCAGTGAGGCCTAATCTCAATATAACTCAAGCACCTGTGATCATTGTGCCATCAGATAAAACAAGTGTCCCGCTGTTGCAGATTTCACATCAAGGTTCTGCTCAGACACCACCCATTGTCCAGGTGTTTGTGTTCAGTTCGGTGAACGCCCCCACGCAACCCCTGGCAGCCAAGGTATCAGACAATTTTCATCCCATAGCCCCAGCTCCAGTTCTGCTCCCTAATGTTGAAAACAGGTGTGACATGGGATACTTAACTGATCTTCGTAGGCGAACTCACAAGTGTCATGTTCAGGACTGTGGGAAGACTTACTACAAAAGTTCACATCTTAAAGCACACATTCGAACACACACAGGTAAGGATAACATTTTATCTTTGTAATATAGTATATGTAAGCAAGCTTAAGTAATAACTTTTGTGTCAGCAACATTAAAATATCTGGGTCTTAATGTTAGTATGAAGTATATGTAAGCAAGCTTAAGTAATATAGTGTGTGTAAGAAACCTATAATTATCAGGGTTTTTTTTATTTTTTTATTTGCAGGTGAGAAACCATTTGTTTGTGATTGGGAAGGATGTACCCGAAGCTTTGCGAGGTCTGACGAGAGATCACGACATGTTCGCACGCACACAGGTGAAAAGAAGTTTGAATGCAACATTTGTCAGCGTCGGTTTATGCGCAGCGATCACCTGGGAAAACATCTGAAGCGCCACAACAGTGTTAAAAAGTCTGGATCCTGGCGAAAAAGTTGTACTTTCAACAGTGGTGAAAATTCTGTATCGTCACCATGTGACTCGTCTGAGGCTACTGTGTAGCCAATGTACCAGTTATTAAAATATATGATACTTTGCGTCAGACTGCTCTATCTGGCTTGAGTACAACATTTTGACAAATGTTTTCTTCTTGATTAATGAAGAGTTTCCTTTGGTAAATATGTATAAATTAAGGCTATTTTTAACACACATAAGACATTATTTATCTACTTTGTATTTTTATTGTATTCACTTTGATACAACACGTAATTAATATTTAAAGGGTACCTTAGAAATAATATTTTAGTTTGAAACCTGAACCCATTTTGTGTTAACCTAATTGTATAAAATATACATGCTAGACATCAGCCAATTTTTAAAAATGTAACAATTAGCATTTGTTACTTGAAACTTAATGTTTTTAAAATTATTTTGGCACTAATAGTTACATTTTTTTCCACATATACTAGTATTAGGTTTTTTATAACACAGTTTTGGAAAGTACAGTGTAAATATATTTTTAAATGTTCTGCGTGTTATTTATTTGTATGATCTCATTCAACCAAAAATGAGATATCAAAATTGTTTTAAATTTTAGTTTGAAATATTTTTAAATGCATGTTTCAATGCATATTTAGACTTGTTTTAAAAACAGTTAATACATTCAATCACATTGTTGTATGTAATCAAGTCCATATTAAATAGGAATACACCATTAGTATCATCTGTATATATTCTCATCTATTTATATATCATAAATAAATACTTTTGTAAAGATCATTATCATATCTACTTTTTATATACAATATTAACTACTTACGGAACATGATTTATTTCATGGTGCTATATTGGTCTTGTTTCAAAGACAAGTATTATAATTTATATTAAATGTGTGATTTTAAATGTTTACTATATTTGAATGACATAGTAGATATGACTCCTCAGTTGAGTCCAAGAAATATGGCTGAATCACTTATTTCTTGCATAAGAGTGTTAGAGTATTTAACTTTGAGCCTGTGTATAAATGTCTGTACAATTGGGGTGTTCCTCAACATTCCAACTCTGAGCGGTTGTTTTTCCCACATATTTGCATTTGAACAAATACCAAAATTGATCTCTGGTTTATTTTTTTTTAATTGACATTAGATATTTTTTAGGTTTAATTGTTTTCTTTGGCATTTTCTTTTGGTTAGGTTTATTTTTAATTAATTAATTCATTCATTTTTTTAAAATTACAAACAAAACATTTAAGCATTGAATATTGTTTCAGTTTATTTTTAAAATGATTAAATCTAAATCACTAAATCTCCACTTTTCTTTGACTTTACTCAGCATTACACTCAGTACATAAGATAGCTTTCCATTGCCTTAGAAACTAAAGCAGATATTTATGCAGCAGAACTGTCATCTATTGACCCAAATACTCACACAAACAGTATGGGGTAAATGCTTACACATTCACATTTTTTAAACAAACTGAATGGGGTAAATGTTTACACTTACACATTCAAATTTTTTTAAACCAATCCTGTTACAGTTGTTGTACAGTTCCATTCATTTTTAAAGAAAGTTTTGTTTTAATTATATGTCATCCAACCAGTGATCGCAGTAATTGTTACATTATTCTATTGTGATATGTTTATTTTTAAAATTATTGTTATATATTTATTTGTATGTTGACCTCACGTAGTTATTTTATTAATTAAAGCATTTTTATAAGCAAGAGCTAGTGAATATTGTAATAAAAAAAATAGATACATCTGATAATTATAGAAAAAAATGTCATTCGTAAAGCTATTCTATTCTACATATAATGTGAAAACGTCCCATGCCTCTATTGCTGCTAATTAAATATATCAAATTGTCAAACTTTTTTTTAATGTTTGGATTTTGCCCTACAATCAAATAATTTGTAACTTATCCTCTAGTCAAATTTTACAACTAAAATATTAATTAGTTTAAACATCATATTTATATTTATTCATTATTGTTGTAGTGCAAAAAGGGAGTCAACTAGGCCTAGTTATTAGTTGTTTATTGTTAATTATTCTACATACATGCCTTTAGGTTTGTAAATAGTTCTTAAGGTAAAAAGAGAAAGTAAAAGTACCTCAACAAATTGCAAGCTGGGTTTTTCTATTAGCATCAATAGCTTATCTCTTTAAAAAAAAAAACGGTATGAAACAAACAAAAATATTTACAGCACATTTATTACCAGGAGCATTGACCTAGATTAGCAACAAGTGTTATTTTTAGAATGTGACCTACATTATGTCTAGTCTGTATTTAAATGTTTTTTGTTGTTATTTTTAATAAATTAACGATTATTTTCAGAAACTGAGTTTTTTTTGTTGTTGTTGTAAAAATTGTTTTAAATAATAATTATTCTTAAACGTCCATGTGTTAATTTATGAAGAATATTCTTTATTAGGTCTCAAATTAAAAGGCTAGGAAATACAACTAATACATGATTCAATGAAAAATGAGAATATTTGACATCACTAGATTAGAATAAAGAGTGAATAAATTTCGATCATTATTATTATATTAAATTAATATGTGCATCTTTCGCCTCACAAACGACACAGCACAAATCACCAGTCCTTTGATCATAATTTTTCCTTTTTTAGTCTATCAACTTGAACTTGAAAATTATTTGGATTTCATTTTCCAATAAACAATATGAAGTTTAGTTTTACTGTTTAATTTTACGTGACAAATTTATGAAGAGCAATCGCGCAAGGTCAACAACCAATGCAAGTCAAACAACATTATTTAACACGGGTCAAGGTGCAGTGGGGCAAAATGACTACCGTCTATTGACCTAGTTCTGCAGCCGCTCTCTGCAAAAGTGCGCAGCACACACAGGCGGCAACACTGGTGCATGGAAGAGAAACTTTAGTGCACTGGGCTTATCGTCCTTGTGTACGCCGTAGGAATAGGATGACGCATGCGTGCTGCGAGTGTTGATGGCTTATTTTTAGCTGCATGTATTATTGATGTCAGGAAATTTCTGAAACAAAAATAAATCTGCTGAAATCACTAATTTAATAATGGCGAATTAAGAAAACTAGCGGCCGATTGCGAGATTAAATATATTTATTTTAATTGTTATTAAAGTAACACAATAACTTATTATTTTTTGTTTGCTGAAAATTGTAAAATATTGAAAATTGCATGATAATGAATCGTAGAAGTAGAAGTTTTAGTCTCATGTTTTAGTCTAATTTGGCAGACGTAGTTTTGTGCACTTGTGTGTATTTCAGCTGTTGTTTTCGTTATATTGCCATATTTCTGGCTACAGTATCGATCAAGTTGATGCTAATAGAAAAATATTTTGGCATACACACAAAAATTAGTTCATCGTTTTTCCTTGTAAGTATACAGAGATGGAATCCATACAAATATGCTCTCGTAGGCAGTGTGACGTAAATTCATGTGTGTTAAAGTAGTTAAAAACTGAAATTGCCCCCCCCCCCCCCCCCCACCGTGATGCACACTAACAATTTTTATCACGGTCTTATGTTTTGTCATTCACATTAGTTTTTAATACAACGTCAGGAAAATAAAACCAAGATGGGTTATGATCATAAACCATAGTGAAAACCATCCGATTTTTAAAAATATATTTACAATTAGTAAAACGATTTAACAGTGATCGCTATGGAAATGTATATTATTTTTGAAAATCAGATTGTAGTCAGAAACCGAGTATTGCGAATAATTGGTGAAAAACCAGTTGAATCGTTCATTAGTCTCTAAGCTATAGAGTCCTTGCAAACACGTGACCTAAATCACGTGATACCTACGCCCGCCGCCACAGTGGTGTACATCAGACGTAAACACAATCAGCTGTTCGCCAGCGCTGGACGTGTTCACCAGCGCTGGACGTGTTCACCGTATGTAAAGAACCGCACCCGTGGAAAAGGAAAAATACGTTAAAAAACTTGAACTCTTAGGAATTGAAGATCCTTATACTGTTATTGACAGTTTCGTGGATAATATAAATATGTGGACAAAATTTCTAAATAAAAATACTGTTAGTAATACCGTTTGCGTTTAGAGTTTAAGTAGACGAAGCTGATCAAATGCAGTAATATATTATAGGTTATGTACTGTAGCAAACGTGAGACCACTTAACTCCTACAAAACCCACACTACAACGGCTAATATAATCCATGGGTAATAACCAATCTGGGTAGCATGTTATACAATTTAAGACCCTTATAATCCAGCAGGGAAGTAATCAGACACATTAATACTGACGTTCAACCCTCATGATGGCTGCCCCCACCTGTATCTAGCCCACAATAAAACCAAAGAGGAGTCTGCCCTGCCCTCCCCTGAAAATGTCTCACCTCCGTGATACCCAGCCCCACAGAGATAGTATTTCTTATATAATTTTGACCCTCAGGGCCCAGCAGGGAGAACAAAGGGGAAAGTCCCACTGCTCTCCCCTCAACACTTCTCACCTCGATGTCATGTTATGTCATTTATAGCACACATAGCTTATCAGGGGAAAGCATTAAGGCATTAAGAATCTTAACTCTGGACAGCTACACACTAGTATACTAGCTACACACTAGGTGCCTACTGTAAACTACTAGACTGTAGGCCCTATGTAGACCTGCAATTGTATCAATTGTAGACTGGGTCCATTGTTATTATTCTAAACCATCTCACTTATAATGTTTCTAGCTTGATTTGTTTCTTTTATAAACAGTGGATTTAAAAAAAATTTGCCTAATCATTAACCAAATAATAATAATGTGGTTATTTGTTGTTGGCTGGTATGATCTAGATTGTACTACTAGGCTACAAAAACTTAGCAGACCAATTACTAGATATGAATTTGAATTTAATTAAACTCAGTCCAGTATCAGATACATATTGCTGTAAAAAGACAACAAAGTAGGTAGGCCTTAGTAATTTATTAAAGCCTTCTACTACAATAATATCAACTACATGCTTGTATAAAGTTTTTACAATTTAATTTAAGTAGCAGATTCTAGATCTAAGTCTAGTCATACAATCTATTTCAATTTCAGAAAATTTCGTTTGCTAAAAAAATGATTAGATAATAGGGCGAGATTTTAGATCTTAGAGACAATTAAATGCCTTATTAGGCCTATTATGACTACTTTTGATTTATTATGGGTGTATTTTGAATCGAATGTAGATCTAAACTAATTAAATTTAAGTAAAGAAGTAGATTCTAGATTCTATGTCTACCCAGCGGAGCCAGGTATTAGACCTACTATTAGATCTTATTATTCTTATTATTACTTTTGACTTTGTCTTTTACTATTAGTATTTGTGAAGGTCGAGCATATTTGTTTTATTAATAGTTATCTTTTATAATTAAAATGAAGTTTATTATTTTACTGTCCTTACCTGAAACAAAGTATCGAGAACTGCATTTGATCAGATTCGTCTACTTTAACTCTAAACGCAAACAGTATTACTAACAGTATTTTTATTTAGAAATTTTGTCCACATATTTATATTATCTACGAAACTGTCAATAACAGTATAAGGATCTTCAATTCCTAAGAGTTCAAGTTTTTTAACGTATTTTTCCTTTTCCGCGGGTGCGGTTCTTTACATACAGTGAACGCGTTCAGCGCTGGTGAACACGTCCAGCGCTGGCGAACAGCTGATTGTGTTTACGTCTGGTGTACACCACTGTGGCGGCGGGCGTAGGTATCACGAACGGACGTGACGTCATATGAAAGGACTCTATTACTTCCCTTTAACCATGTTTAAGTTCGAGCGTACGGATGCACTACGTACGAGCGTCCTATGATAAACGGTGGCCTTCACCTTGTCTGTAACACGTTACTTGACCTTACCAGCATTGGCCAGGGGCGACCAACCCCTTAAGGTCAAGTGAAGCCCCAAGATCTTGTCCAACACAAGTGCCAGAGATTAGGTGAAACCCGAACCCCAGGGTCAAAAGTTCAAACCCTAACTAAGTTTAGTGACGCACTGAACCAAGCAGATTTAAAATCTCTTCACATTTCATTTTAAAAGATTCACGCGACAAGGGCAATTTATTCACTAGGACAAGTGGGCAATTATTTACAGCCAGGGACAAAGTAGGCAATTATTTACAGCCAGGGACTAAGTAGGCAATTATTTACAGCCAGGGACATAGTAGGCAATTATTTACAGCCATGGATAGAGTAGGCAATTATTTACAGCCAGGGACAAAGTAGACACTTATTTACAGCCAGGGATAGAGTAGGCAATTATTTACAGCCAGGGTTAGAGTAGGAAATTATTTACAGCCAGTGATAAAGTAGGCAATTATTTATAGCCAGGGACAAAGTAGACACTTATTTACAGCCAGGGATAGAGTAGGCAATTATTTACAGCCAGGGTTAGAGTAGGAAATTATTTACAGCCAGGGATAAAGTAGGCAATTATTTACAGCCAGGGACAAAGTAGGCAATTATTTACAGCCAGGGACAAAGTTGGCAATTATTTACAGTCAGAGACAAAGTCAGAGGCGTAGCGACTAGGGGGGGGGGGGGAGGATACATATGTCCCCGGGCGCCGACCCTAGAGTCGCCAAAATAATGTAAACAAAAAATTAAAAGCTCATTATAGCTGCAGTTTTGAATTATAAATATACAAAATATATGGGAGGGGGGGAGGGCGCCGGGAGGGGTCGTTACGCCTCTGGACAAAGTAGGCAGCTATTTACAACCAGGGATAAAGTAGGCAACTTAACAGCTAGGGACACGGACATTCAATTATTTACAGCACCGTTTCTGGCGGCCCACCGTGATTTTCCCGGTGTCACGACGGGCTAGTCCACCCCTGTTCTAGAGCATAACATAGTATGAAAGACAGTGTTCACATGACACCGCTTGAAAAATCCTTCTTCACACGATACCGAGCAGTGACACAAAATCTAAAACAATGTAAATGTAAGAGTCTTCACACGATAGCGAATAGTGCCAAAACACTAAAAACACTGACTTACCATACCGCCAATTTTTTTAAATTGACTCCACCTAATGTTTTTCAAAAGCGCAAAGATTTTTCATGAAGGGGGAAGGGGAGGCATGTCTACAGTCCCTCCACCGTGGAAGAAATGAAAACAAAATTATGTAGCGTATTTAGAAAATATCTATTTAAATTAAGCAGCGTCGTCGCCCCCCTCCCTCCCGATAGTTTTAATTGTGCCTACGAAAGTTTTGACTCCCACACCCCCCCCCCCAATGTCTGAAAGAAACCCTGCTTGGAGCTTGTTTACTTGTTTACATGATGTAATGTTTACATTATGTACTAACACTATAGGCAACTTTGTGTCAAGTCTCTAGGGAACGGGGCCAACCGCTTGCCAAACTGAAAGTCACGGGACCAGCGGCTGGTACCTTGGGTGGGAGAAATGTTGGTCCACTGCCTGGCTCATGAGCGAAAGCTTCAACCCGTGATGGCCGTACACAAGAGACTGTCTAGTCAGCTTCCAAGCTTAAAGATGAAGAAACAGGCATCAATAAATGTACAACTTTTAAAACTACAGATTAAATCGAGCAATTTTTCTTTTTTTATTCTGGTGTCACCCCCTTGAATGGTATCGAAGGAGCGGTCCGCAGTCTTCGCCTTGTACCTAACACTTTCTCAGAGTGAAACTGGTTAATCTCTAGTTCCTTTATTTTCATAAGCCTGTTTATAGATAGAACAACGCATTAATTTTGCTTGGTGTGCAATATTGGCGTTTCTCTGCGCATCTGCTCTGCACCGTGCGTCAAACCAGCCATGTTTTGAACACTAAATCGCGAAACAACAAAGATTATGTTCACTACTAAGGTCGTGAATAAATGTTCTTAATCTGCTCAACAGCAATATGTCTCGTAGCATTACTGCTGCCTGCTAGTGTCGAGGCATCCAAGAATGCAATCAATGAAACTGACCCAGCTGATGATAGCAATACAACTGAACCATCTAATAACCAAAACTTAACCGAAGTTACCAACACCACAGCTGTGACAACTACTGCTACTGATACTAGATCTAGTAGCGATATACCCCATACCACCTCTACTGTTACTACCACCGTTTCCACAGGGACTGAATTGAATCAAATCACCAGCAGCGATTGGACAGAACCGGAAACCAGCTCCACAATCCAGACCGTTTCTATAAACATCCCTATTGTTACACATACAAGTAGGTCGATGTTTAGATAATAAATCATAAATGTTTATGTGTTATTTCTGATCAGAGGCGTAACATTCGCCCCCCCCACGCGAACTATAAATTTTGCACCCCACATTCATGCTTAGTTATTTAAGTTGGCAAAAAAAAAAGCGCCCTACCCTTGTAAGTAAAACTGGGGCACCTGTGTTTTTACCAGTCTCCATCCTGTAACAATCTTTACTTTGGTGTTACACATTTGATGTAGAAACTTGTTAAACCATTCTGTAAGCGTAAAGCCAAGTATCAGTCTATTTCTGAGATTTGACTGTGTATAATTCAGTCATGCATAGAAGAATGAGCTTTTTATTTTATTGTAACCTCCAACGGTCGGCGCCTGTGTCGACCGCCCCACCCGCCCTCCCCTAGCTACGCCCCTGATTCTGGTTATTAATATTTAAAGTAAAAGTTAAAGTTATTTTTTTTCCTCTTTGACAATGCATTGGCCGGATGCAGTAACAGTAATCTGTTCTTTTAACTATACAAATCAAGTTTACATAAACTCTACCACCCTACTCTAGTCTATACCCGGACTTGTGTGAGCTTACAAGTAGACTAATTCACGTCCTGAAGCTATGAGCCGGGCCCAACTCATGACTGCTGGGTTCTTACCAATTAGCCATCTCTGAATTTCACACACAGAAACAATCATTATTCGTAGGGTATAATTGTTAAAGTTAAATTAGTTTTCTAAGTCCCGTGTCTCTCTCTCTCTCCCCCCCCCCCCCCCTCTCCGACGCAACCTTGCGTCATCACCCCCCCCCCCCCCCAGCCCTAATCAACAAGTGATTCATGCTTAATTTACCAGAGCAGCAGTATAGTTAGGTTAATTCTAGAAAACCTTTTTTTTTTTTTGCTACAAAAGATAGGCATCAATGTGAGAAATTTCCAAACGTGATATGGTAATTATTTAAATTATTAAAAAAAAAAGATACATTGTTAGTCTGTTGGATACTGCATACATCGCTTATTAAATGCATTATTTTTTAAATTACATTTTAATTGCTATTTCGTCAAAGTTTGAATCATACATCCTCGAAGGAAATAAGTAGAGACGGTTTAGTATCCGTGAGTTTGGAGTGGTTGATATTGTATGTGTTTGAAGGCTATTGTGCTGTTTGTAATTTATACATTGGTAGTAGAGTACTGTATGGGTTATTATTGTATGTCATACAGTGCACAACTATATGGGGAAGTAGTGTTTGGAAGTGTCATGTATAGACTAGAAATATATATATATGTCACCAAAAGCTGTTAACGCGAGACGGGTATCAGTTTGGTATCCAACGGGGCAGGGATAGGTGGGGGTTTCACAACTGTTGTATAATGATGATGTATATTTCGATGTAATGTGTTTATCCATTTTTCTATCCAGGTTCAACGTTGCATAACAATAGCTACGCCCCCCACTACTATCTTCGTTACGCCATTCCGCTGGGTGTTGTAGGGCTCATGAGTCTGTACATCCTCATCTTGGTCTGTTTTTTGACTAGAAGGTTCGTTGTTTACTAGCCTATAACACTGCTCCTAGTCTAAATTTTTTAGAGTAGAAGGTTCGTTGTTTACTAGCCTATAACACTACTCATAGTCTACCTTTTTAGAGTAGAACAAAGAAGCTGTTTTCGTTTTGAAAAACGTTTTGGAAAAAGGAAACGATATACATAAGTAAAGTGATAAACTTGATAAATAACCATTTTTTCCCCGGGGCGGGGGGACTTTTTATTCCAGTGTCCGATAATAGAATCTTCTTTAAAGGTGTGTTTGGTTACCTAGTTAACTAAAATACACACCTTGCTTGTTAACCCTATCCCTAACCCCAACCCTAATTTCTAACCATAGTCGAGATTACAATACTACTAACAATCTAACACACCTATTTTTAGAAGAGTATTATCGAACATCTGCATCTAAAATCATCCTGTTTTTTTTTCTTCTTAGATTTTTAACATAATCATTTCTCTGCTTTTAAGCGAAAAAGTTAAACTACAGAAAAATAAATTATGTGTCTAGACACATTTTTGTCTGTTTCATCCTTTATGATTTGTTGGGTTTGAAAATAAATCCCCTATCTTTTCAAATCCAACCCAATCAAACTTAATTAACATAAGCCATGTTAAACCTTAAACGAGCTACAAATCGAACCCCCTTAGCCATCCCACATCTGCTGTTCACTCCAACTCACTTAGACAATTTAGCTCCTATGTTTGTCGCGTTCTATTTTTATTAAAATTTGCATTGGTGTTTAATAACATAAACTACCAAGGCAATATTATATGTGCACAAGCCGTTAATGGACATAATTTAACAATTCACTGGCTTAGTATTTCCATCTTTCACCTTCACATTTGGTTCTCGTTTGGCCTGAGTTCTCTTAACGTACCTGGCAACTTGAAGCATAGTCGTAAACCAATGGCCAAGACCACATAGATTCATGTTCTTTATTTCTTAAACCTCTAACCATTTGTTAGGAGCAAACCTTACCACTCCAGTGGCCGATGTAGGTACCTGATCCATGTGACCCCTGTACCTGACCCGTGTAACCACTGTACCTGACCCGTGTGACCACTGTACCTGACCCACTGTACCTGACCCAAGTGACCACTGTACCTGACCCGTGTGACCACTGTACCTGACCCATGTGACCACTGTACCTGACCCACTGTACCTGACCCGTGTGACCACTGTACCTGAACCACTGTACCTGACCCAAGTGACCACTGTACCTGACCCGTGTGACCACTGTACCTGACCCACTGTACCTGACCCAAGTGACCACTGTACCTGACCCGTGTGACCACTGTACCTGACCCACTGTACCTGACCCGTGTGACCACTGTACCTGACCCATGTGACCACTGTACCTGAACCACTGTACCTGACCCAAGTGACCACTGTACCTGACCCACTGTACCTGACACATGTGACCACTGTACCTGACCCACTGAACCTGACCCATGTGAACATTGTGGGTACCTGACCCATGTGTCCACTGTGAGTACCTGACCCATGTGTCCACTGTGAGTACCTGACCCATGTGACCATTGTGGGTACCTGACCCATGTGTCCACTGTACCTGACCCATGTGTCCACTGTGAGTACCTGACCCATGTGTCCACTATGAGTACCTCACCCATGTGTCCACTGTACCTGACCCATGTGTCCACTGTGAGTACCTGACCCATGTGGCCACTGTGAGTACCTGACCCATGTGGCCACTGTGAGTACCTGACCCATGTGTCCACTGTACCTGACCCATGTGTCCACTGTGAGTACCTGACCCATGTGACATTTGTACCTGACCCATGTGTCCACTGTGAGTACCTGACCCATGTGTCCACTGTGGGTACCTGACCCATGTGTCCACTGTGAGTACCTGACCCATGTGACCATTGTACCTGACCCATGTGTCCACTGTGAGTACCTGACCCATGTGTCCACTGTGAGTACCTGACCCATGTGACCATTGTACCTGACCCATGTGTCCACTGTGAGTACCTGACCCATGTGTCCACTGTGAGTACCTGACCCATGTGTCCACTGTACCTGACCCATGTGTCCACTGTGAGTACCTGACCCATGTGTCCACTGTGGGTACCTGACCCATGTGTCCACTGTGAGTACCTGACCCATGTGTCCACTGTGAGTACCTGACCCATGTGTCCACTGTGAGTACCTGACCCATGTGTCCACTGTGAGTACCTCACCCATGTGGCCACTGTGAGTACCTGACCCATGTGGCCACTGTGAGTACCTGACCCATGTGTCCACTGTGAGTACCTGACCCGTGTGTCCACTGTGAGTACCTGACCCATGTGAGTACCTGACCCATCTGGCCACTGTGAGTACCTGACCCATGTGGCCACTGTGAGTACCTGACCCATGTGTCCACTGTGAGTACCTGACCCGTGTGTCCACTGTGAGTACCTGACCCATGTGAGTACCTGACCCATCTGGCCACTGTGAGTACCTGACCCATGTGGCCACTGTGAGTACCTGACCCATGTGTCCACTGTGAGTACCTGACCCGTGTGTCCACTGTGAGTACCTGACCCATGTGAGTACCTGACCCATCTGGCCACTGTGAGTACCTGACCCATGTGGCTACTGTGAGTACCTGACCCATGTGTCCACTGTGAGTACCTGACCCATGTGAGTACCTGACCCATCTGGCCACTGTGAGTACCTGACCCATGTGGCCACTGTGAGTACCTGACCCATGTGACCACTGTACCTGACCCATGTGGCCACTGTGAGTACCTGACCCATGTGGCCACTGTGAGTACCTGACCCGTGTGTCCACTGTGAGTACCTGACCCATGTGGCCACTGTACCTGACCCATGTGGCCACTGTACCTGACCCATGTGTCCACTGTACCTGACCCATGTGGCTACTGTGAGTACCTGACCCATGTGTCCACTGTACCTGACCCGTGTGTCCACTGTACCTGACCCATGTGTCCACTGTACCTGACCCATGTGACCACTGTACCTGACCCATGTGTCCACTGTACCTGACACATGTGTCCACTGTGAGTACCTAACCCATGTGGCCACTGTGAGTACCTGACCCAAGTGGCCACTGTGAGTACCTGACCCATGTGTCCACTGTGAGTACCTGACCCTTGTGGCCACTGTGAGTACCTGGCCCAAGTGGCCACTGTGAGTACCTGACCCATGTGGCCACTGTGAGTACCTGACCCATGTGTCCACTGTGAGTACCTGACCCATGTGTCCACTGTGAGTACCTGACCCATGTGGCTACTGTGAGTACCTGACCCATGTGTCCACTGTACCTGACCCGTGTGTCCACTGTACCTGACCCATGTGTCCACTGTACCTGACCCATGTGTCCACTGTACCTGACCCATGTGACCACTGCCCTGACCCATGTGACCACTGTACCTGACCCATGTGTCCACTGTACCTGACCCATGTGGCCACTGTGAGTACCTGACCCATGTGTCCACTGTGAGTACCTGACCCATGTGTCCACTGTGAGTACCTGACCCATGTGTCCACTGTACCTGACCCATGTGGCCACTGTGAGTACCTGACCCATGTGTCCAATGTGAGTACCTGACCCATGTGTCCACTGTGAGTACCTGACCCATGTGTCCACTGTACCTGACCCATGTGGCCACTGTGAGTACCTGACCCATGTGTCCACTGTGAGTACCTGACCCATGTGTCCACTGTGAGTACCTGACCCATGTGTCCACTGTGAGTACCTGACCCATGTGGCCACTGTGAGTACCTGACCCATGTGTCCACTGTGAGTACCTGACCCATGTGTCCACTGTACCTGACCCATGTGTCCACTGTGAGTACCTAACCCATGTGGCCACTGTGAGTACCTGACCCATGTGTCCACTGTGAGTACCTAACCCATGTGTCCACTGTGAGTACCTGACCCATGTGTCCACTGTGAGTACCTGACCCATGTGTCCACTGTGAGAACCTGACCCATGTGTCCACTGTACCTGACCCATGTGGCCACTGTGAGTACCTGACCCATGTGTCCACTGTGAGTACCTGACCCATGTGTCCACTGTGAGTACCTGACCGATGTGGCCACTGTGAGTACCTGACCCATGTGGCCACTGTGAGTACCTGACCCATGTGGCCACTGTGAGTACCTGACCCATGTGGCACTGTTTTAAAAAAAAAAACAACATGTGATCATCATCAATCCTCATTTTAGGAAATGTATTTTTAGTACACATTGAGTAATTCCCTTAAGCAACATAATGGAAGATTGGCCTACTATAATTTTCCCTTGAATCCCAAACAGTTTCGACCCTAGAGTCTACTATTTACTGCAATATGTGCAGTGTTTCTTTCAGACACTTGAAATATTCGGGGGTGGGGGAAATTTTCTGGGAGGGGGGAAGCTTTTTAAGTATTTATCTTTTATATAAATTATACCTTTTTATTTCGTTCGCGCACCTTCCCTCCCCTGAAGCAATGCCTGAAAGAAACTCTGAATATGTGTGAATAACATGCTGATAAAAAAATTAAAATAGGCCTAAATAATTATTTTTTACAACTCAGAATTCGAAAACAAATGAAAGCTCCGATGCCACACAGAGTCAGTCGCTTACTGGATATAGAGGAAGATGCTAAGTAAGTCTTGTTGTCTGGTACAAGTTGTAATATGTTTAGTTGCCTTGTTAACATGGAGAAAGGGAGGTAAATCTAGTTTAAAATGGAGGAAGGGAGGTAAGTTTTGTTTCCTTGTTAACATAGACTATAGAGTAACATATCATCTTGCCTTGCTAATATGGAAAAAGGGAGGTAAGTTTAATTGCTTTGTTTAGATAAAGAGGAAAACGCCCGTTCTAATCTGGAAGATGGGAAGTATGTCTAGTTGCTTTGTTAACTTTGTTGAAGTGAGGTACGTCTAGATTTTACATCGCATAATTTTCAGAATCTATACATTGATCATTTTCCCAAGAATATAAATAATGAGTAAAATGTTTTTACATGGTGAATTGTGTCTTAATTAGTGGGACTGTTAATCAAAACTCTGGAGCTTAATTCATGGACTTGGGAGTCACGTCAGTGTCTTCACAAGGTGGGGGCGGGTTGTCGACTACACCGGGGGGACACCATTTAGGGAGTGACACCACGATGAAAAATCATAACATTTTTTTTCAACATTTTTTTAAGATAACAAAATATTATGGGGGGATGGGCGACACCGAAATGCAAAACTGTTGGAGGGGGTAAGGTGACACCCTCAATTATCATGTATCAGTGGCGTAGGCGGGGGGGTGGGGTTAGGGTGGGTCATAATCCCCCCATAGACCCCTCGGTATATATATAAAGTATGAGGGGGGTGTAAATTGAAAGTTTGAGGGCGGGGTGCACATCGAAAATTTGAGGGGGGGTGCAAATCGAAAGTTTGTCCCCGGGTAAAAATTTGAACCCCCCCCCCCCATGAGACGATCCTGGCTACGCCACTGTCATGTATCACCCACTACTAGCTCCGAAAGATAAGCCTATCTGTTAGCATAAGTACTCCCCCTTAAATCTTCTCACATCAAACTTACAAAAGCAGATAAACTCTTCTCCATCTACCTGTTTGGAGAATCGAGTCTGAAAGAGGCACCTAGTGTACCCAGCTACTGTATCCTCAAGTGTATGTATAATTTTCTTCTATCTCCAGGCCCAAACGGCGAATATCAGTCGCACAAGCTCACAGTTTCACAGGAAAAAGACAACGGCACAGCTTCTACGTGCCTCAGACATGAAAGGATTTTTCTACTGTTTTCCTACAAGAATAAAGATTACAGAGTTTAAAGATAACAGAGATTAAAGATAACACTTTTTGTAATATCTTTACAATACTGCCTTTTTTTTAGTAATCTAGGTGTATAGAAATCCAGTTGCCTTTATAATATATATATTGGAATTAATATCAGTTGATTACACGTTGTATTTTCAATTCTTGTCATTGGTAATGACATACATAATCCAACATTTAAATACAACTTTGTGTGTTCGATGAAATCACTTTACACATGAACAGCGAGTTATTGATCACTGAACTGCGATTAATATGTGAAATGTTTTTCTAGGCCTCTGTTCTTTTTACACCATTTCATTGAAATATTTTTATTTTGGTAAAAATAAAATCAAAACGTTCAGAGGGAATTCATGAAACCCATAAGAAAAGCCAAATAAACATGTTTGTTCTTCATAGATACCCATGTAAATAATTTATTTATGAATTAGTAGGCCGTTGGTAAAAGCTGATCATGTGGAGAACACCATGTGAAGAATTTCATCCAAAGGTCAAAATCATCATCTAAAGAAGAAAATCATCTTGGGAAGATCATCTCTGACAAATACATCATATTTGACAAATGGCGGACAGTTAATGAGTTATGAAATAGAAATATCCACTAACTATAACTGTAAACATTAACTGTCTCGTGCAGTCAATTATATGACTGGTTTACATTATTTTTAAATGGGTACCAACATCAGAATTTTCTACCAATACTAGTACAATTCAGAAAACACAAATTTTCACATTTGTATGTGAAATCAAGGACTGTTACTGGAACAATTGGGTTGTTAAAGTTTAATCACTTACTTCCCTTTACTGTATTTTTTCCCCCCCACTTTACACATGAAGCAGCTAGTTATTGATCACTGAACTGCGATTAATATGTGAAATGTTTTTCTAGGCCTCTGTTCTTTTTACACCATTTCGTTGAAATAATTTTATTCTAGTAAATATAAAATCAAAACGCTCAGAGGAAACTCATGAAACCCATAAGAAATGTCAAATAAACATTTTTGTTCTTCCTAGAAACATATTTAAATAATTTATTTATGAGTGGGTTAGGCCGTTAGTAAACGTTGATCATCATCTGAAGAACACCATGTGAAGAACATTATCTAAAGCAGGACAAAATCCTTAAAAATCATCATCGACAGGAGAAACTCATCCAAGGGACATTTGAATGAGATCATCATTGAATGACAATGTATATTCAATAAATGGTGGACAGTTATGGTCTAGAAATAATTCAAATATCCACTGAGTATAACTTACAACTGCATCAACATAGTCTTTTTAAATACAATAGACACAACACAGAATATGTAAATAAGTACCGTTATGTGCAGTGCTATTATACGACTGGCTAAAATTATTTCAAAATGGATTTAAAAAAAAAAAAACAGAAAAATATCGTCATTAACATATCTGATACACAAACTTTATAAAAACCTTGATTAAAAAATTAAATGCTCACAAATCACTTCTTTTGAAAACATAAACACATACCTCAGTGGCGTAGCGAGGTCGGGTGTCACCCGGTGCGGGACTTAATGGTGTCACCCCCTCAGAGGCGTAGCGACTCTTCCCAGGGAAAAAGTTTCAATTTTCGATTTGCACCCCCCTCAAGTTTTCGATTTGTACCCCCCCCCCCTCAAACTTTCGATTTGCACCCCCCCCCTCCTCAAATTTTTCTCTATACATTTTACTATTTTTTGCCTTGGTGTCACCCCCTTAAATGGTGACACCCGATGCGGTCCGCACCCCCCCCCCCCCTAGCTACGCCTCTGACATACCTAAAAGCAAAACAGTATTGAATGAGAAAGTATTTCAACCTATTTGTAATAGTAGATGTAACAGACAACTTACGAATCTCTATGTGCACTCACGGGTTATAACTGTTAAAATTGGGTTGTTTAAGATTAATCGGTTATTTCCCTTTTTAACAATTTAGTAAAGAACAATATTTGAAGCTCACTTGTCCAGTTTCACTAAATCAATGTGATAGTCTCTTTTAAAATTCTTATATTAATTTTTTAGACAACGCAAGTGTTTTAAGTGTTAGTTAAATGCATTATAGTTAAATGCATTATAATCTTCTTTGACCAGCTGTTGCAAGTTCGCTTCGTATACACTACTACTGACTATCAGGTATAAAATAGTAACTTTTTATTTTTCTTCTGAATCTTAGTACTTTTATGGGCATCAATCAAAATATAGATTCGAGTTAAGTGGCCAACAGTCCACTTAGTTCTGACATTTATAGACATTTTAATACCCTACATTCACAATTTTTTGCCGTGTTCCTTTTGATGGCATCTGTTAATGATAATTTACAGAATATTGTGGCGTCCAGCCTATCAGGCACACAAGAAGAGGTATGCAAGATAACTCTCTTCCAAAAATAAGTATGCTTTTAGAAAGTAACAGACATTTCTATATATATCTACTAAAGAGTTGCACAAGAAAAATAAATGATAATTTTCTTTTTATACAAGTTTTATCAAGGTAAATGCAGTCTGGATATCCAGGGACAGTAACTCTTGATGGTATCTTTCATTCTCTTACTCTTTAACATGTAACAAAATTAAGTCAACATTTTCACCCCAGATTTTACTAATATACGTGATTTCTTTCAGAAAATCTTATTTACATTGAACCCCTATGCCGCGTCTAAAAATGGATATTTACTTACATTTAGCCAGTTACACTACATTACATTTAGTGCAAGACAAGAGGAAACGTATCACAGCCTCACGGGGTAGAAAGATGTATACCCTACTTCTCGGCTTCATCTGAGCACGGGCCTTTTTATTGGGAAAAGTTAGGTAGGACTTGGCGGTTGAGAGCTAGACTGCTAACCCAAAAGTCTCGAGTTCGAATACGGGTAGTCGTCAATACAACGTCCCTCAGTCAAAACAGCTGTGATGGATACCTAACTCACGGTAGACGGCTGAGCAAGGCACTTTCTCTTTATTATCCGTGGTCACTGAAACAGGTGAACTCTACTTGATCTGCCCGATGTGTCTAGATTACGAAATGGAAAAAAAATGATGATTAAAGAGTACCATCACAACAATCCTATAGTGCAGGGGTCTCCAAACTACGGCCCGCGGGTCGGATGCGGCCCGCGAGGTCATTTCATCAGGCCCGCGACGATCTTATTGTCCACTGAATAAAAGTTTCTTGGAGATCGCCGAGGAGCTTTGCACAGAAAATTCAAAACTATTTTAAAATGTAGCTTTGTGTGCAAATACAATTACTCGCCGTGTTGCAGACATTGGTGAAAACATAGTGACTCTAATATTGAAAAATGCAAGCAAGCTTCGCCATTTTTCAATTGCAATGGATGAGTCGCTGGACAGTTGTTCCACCTCAACTTCTTGTGTTCATTAGAGGTGTGAAGACATGAACATAACACAAGAGCTGGCTTCCCTACATAGAATGTATGACACTGTTACCGAAGAGGATATCTAACCATAGGTAGTTCAGAGACAAACACAAAATCGCAAGATTTACCATATTTCACATCAGTAAGATTGCTAATTTTGCGAGAAAGTTCTGAGCAGAGTATTTAAGTTAAGAAAAAAAAAATAGGTGACTTCCTGAAAGTAAAAGCAAGTCACAACCATTATTGTCTGATGAAGAGTGGGTATAAAAATTGGCCTCTGCTGCTGACATAACTAGTCATTTAAATTTTCTTAACCTATAACGGCAAGAGAGTGAAATCTAGTTTCTGATCTATACACCCACCTAAAGGCCTTTAGATACAAACTTGTCATGTTTTTGGAACATTTACAGGCTAACAACTTGACACACTCTCAGCAGTGCAAGTTCTTTATGGCTGAACCAACCACTGAGTTCCCCACGTCATTTACATACGAGATCATTAAAGACCTCCAGCTGCAGTTTCAGTAGCGGTTTTCTGACTTGGATTCAAATGCAGAAGAAGTGAGACTGTTTCTAAGCCCATTTGAAGCAAATGTGGCCAGTTGCAAAGATGAACTGCAGCGGGAGGTCATTGAATTGCAAGAAAATGACTTCCTAAGAGACACGTTCAAAGAAGGGCGGATGGGTTTTCATAAGTTTTTACACAAGGAAGACTTTCCTAATATTAAAACTTTTGCATCAAAGTACCTTTCAAATTTTGGAACAACATACCTTATGAACAAACATTTTCAAGAATAAAATACGTGAAGAACAATTTTAGAGCAAACGTGGACCTCGGGTGGGGTGGGGGACATTTGAAATTTGTTTATATTTCTATATAAATTATATTTCGTGTGGGGGGGGGGGGGCGGTAGACGTTCTTCTAGGGGGGGGGGGGGCTGAAAAGATGCATTAAAGAAACTCTGGCCCCCGAACTGATATTTGATAGTTAATGCGGCCCTCGGGCTGAAAAGTTTGGAGACCCCTGCTATAGTGGGTGATGCGACACCATCCAAATGTATGTCCAAAATAATTTTTTAATGAAAAATTTCACTTTTCTCAATGAATTTAATAACTAATTGGTATTTGGCAATGGGGTGATTTTCTGGGTTACTCCACCGGTTGTCAAACCGATCTGGTGACACCTCTGTCTAAAATATACAATATATACTCTCTGTTTGTCTGTCTGTTTGTCTGTCTGTCTGTCTGGTCTGTCTGTCTGTCTGTCTGTCTGCATGTCTGCATATCTGCATGTTTGCATGTCTTCATGTCTGCATGTCTGCATGTTTGCATGTCTGTCTGTCTGTCTGTATGTCTGTCTGTCTGCATGTCTGCATGTCTGCATGTCTGCGTGTCTGCATGTCTGCCTGTTTGCCTGTCTGCATGTCTGCATGTCTGCATGTCCGATTGTCTGCATGTATGTCTGTCTGCATGTCTCTCTGCATGTCTGCCTGTCTGCATGTCTGTTTGTCTGCATGTCTGCATGTCTGTCTGTCTGTCTGCATGTCTGCGTGTCTGCATGTCTGCATGTCTGTCTGTCTGCATGTCTGCGTGTCTGTATGCCTCCCTGTCTTTCTAAAATTAGAATTAAAAAGCTATTGCCCCAAAAATACACAATATTAATGACGTCATCGACACTTGATAATAAAACACTAACACTATCTTCTTATTTATTTGTCTAATCTTAAAAGGGTTCTGCGTGCAGTTTCTTTCAAGAACATCTATCGCCTCCCCCACCCCCAACGAAATACAATTTATATATAAAATATATACTTTTACTAGTGTCAGACCTACTTCATCCCGTAGAAAAATGTCTGAAAGAAACCTTATCATCATGACTGAGGTTTAGAGGCCAAAAGTGTATATTTTATAGAAAAAGGGCCAACTTTTAGTCTGTATGATATACACATGAGAAAGAGGGGGGCGGGGGCAGGACTAAATTTTCTGGTCGGACACTAGTAAAAGTATATTTTTTATCAATATAAA